ACGTAAAAATGTATGCACACATGACTGTAAGTCGCTTTGGATAAAAGCATCTGCTAAATGGCATATTATTATTATTATGTAGTAAACAAAAAAGTGTTAAACAAATCAAAATATATTTTATATTTGAGATTCTTCAAATAGCCACCCTTTGCTTTGATGACAGCTTTGCACACTCTTGGCATTCTCTCAACCAGCTTCATGAGGTAGTCACCTGCAATGCATTTCAATTAACAGGTGTGCCTTGTTAAAAGTTAATTTGTGGAATTTATTTCCTTCTTAATGCGTTTGAGCCAATCAGCAGTGTTGTGACAAGGTAGGGGTGGTATACAGAAGATAGCCCTATTTGGTAAAAGACCAAGTCCATATTATGGCAAGAACAGCTCAAATAAGCAAAGAGAAATGACAGTCCATCATTACTTTAAGACATGAAGGTCAGTCAATACGGAACATTTCAAGAACTTTGAACGTTTCTTCAAGTGCAGTCGCAAGAACCATCAAGCGCTATGATGAAACTGGCTCTCATGAGGACCGCCACAGGAAAGGAAGACCCAGAGTTACCTCTGCTGCAGAGGATAAGTTCATTAGAGTTACCAGCCTCAGAAATTGCAGCCCAAATAAATGCTTCACAGAGTTCAAGTAACAGACATCTCAACATCAACTGTTCAGAGGAGACTACGTGAATCAGGCCTTCATGGTCGAATTGCTGCAAAGAAACCACTACTAAAGGACACCAATAAGAAGAAGAGACTTGCTTGGGCCAAGAAACACGAGCAATGGACATTAGACCCGAAATCTGTCCTTTGGTCTGATGAGTCCAAATTTGAGATTTTTGATTCCAAATCGCCATGTCTTTGTGAGACGCAGAGTAAGTGAACGGATGATCTCCGCATGTGTGGTTCCCACCGTGAAGCATGGAGGAGGAGGTGTGACGGTGTGGGGGTGCTTTGCAGGTGACACCATCAGTGATTTATTTAGAATTCAAGGCACACTTAACCAGCATGGCTACCACAGCATTCTGCAGCGATACGCCATCCCATCTGGTTTGCGCTTAGTGGGAGTATCATTTGTTTTTCAACAGGACAATGACCCAAAACACACCTCCAGGCTGTGTAAGGGCTATTTGACCTTCACTGCTGCATCAGATGACCTGGCTGCCACAATCACCTGACCTCAACCAAATTGAAATAGTTTGGGATGAGTTGGACCGCAGAGTGAAGGAAAAGCAGCCAACAAGTGCTTAGCATATGTGGGAACTCCTTCAAGACATTATCAAGAAAAGCATTCCAGGTGAAGCTGGTTGAGAGAATGCCAAGAGTGTGCAAAGCTGTCATCAAGGCAAAGGGTGGCTACTTTGAAGAATCTCAAACATAAAATGTATTTTTATTTGTTTAACACTTTTTTGTTTACTACATGATTCCATATGTGTTATTTCATAGATTTGATGTCTTCACTATTATTCTACAATGTAGAAAACAGTAAAAATAAAGAAAAACCCTTGAATGAGTAGGTGTGTCCAAACTTTTGACTGGTACTGTATGTGGGAGAGTGCCAGCGGTGTAGTGGAGGGTATACGCAGGTATAAACTGTATACCCACTATTTTTTCAGTGGGCATTGCTTATACTCACTTCTTAATCCCTACTAATGCATATCAAAGTAGTGTAGTGGAGGTATATGACTTATCAATTATGTAGTACAATAGAGAAATCATGCACAAAGTAGCCTACACAATCGCAAAGCACATTAAATATATTCACATGGGCGCCGCACACATAGCCTAGTTTCAGCGGAATATAATCTGCAGGCATTATGGCGCAGCTCACAGAAGAGTGACATCAGTAGCCAGTAGGGTAGGAAATATGTTTCAACTTATATCTACCAGTGAATGCTAACTAAGGCAACAATGGGTATGCAAACCAGGTATTGAAAAAGTTTAGTCCGAAGTGTTGGTTTGTAGGCTATTTGTGATGCGCAATTGTCATAATGCGCTGTTTGCATCAGGGGCGTAGACATGGATGGGCCTGGGTGGACAGAGGCCCACCCACTGGGGAGCCAGGCCTTGACAGGTCCACCCAATCAGATTGATGTGGTATAAGTATTGTTGTGGACTTAGACCATCATTTATTTGTATTATTTCTATTTTTTAAAAAAAAGTGATTTTGAGAGTGAAAATCTCATAAAATCGAAATGTACAACTATTACTTCCCATTGCAAGAAACATTTCACATTTAGCACACAAAATAACCAGTGACCTAAAGTTTAAAGTGGAACTGACAGCGTTTTAACTACTTTGCAGATATGAAACAAACAGCCAATCATAATATCAGTCAAAAATATCAAATTTGGATGCAGTTCAATGCATAATTAATATAATTCACCAATACATTTCTTGGTAGTCTGAAAAATATTGCTATCAGGTTGTAAATCTCACCTGGCCTGGTACATTGTTTGCTGCCTCCAGTTCAATGCATGATTAATATAATTCACCAATACATTTCTTGGTAGTCTGAAAAATATTGCTATCAGGTTGTAAATCTCACCTGGCCTGGTACATTGTTTGCTGCCTCCATTCGGGATGCACTTTCAGTTTCAATGACTCAATATTCTAGATAAAAACGGACTAATGTAACTAACGCTCGGAATGTCAAACTAGCAAGGGCAAGGATCACAAGTCAGTCATAATGTGGCTAATAGGCTAGTGTACCTATTTATGTAGAAAGCTAAAAACACGGAGCCTAACGTTAGCTAGATAGCTAGCTAGCTACTAGGAGGATGTCATGCCATTGGAGGAGTTGGTGAGTGACTGACCTTTTCCCTTCATATCGTTTTTTGGTGGTTATACACAGCTAGAGATGCAGGTGTCATTTGGTTAGCTAGCAAGAACTTGAACGACTGTTATACAGTTAGCATATCTCTTGAATTCGCAAATTCACTCTGGCCATCTACTCCGATTTCAGAGCACTCTCGTCTGAGTGGGCCAGAGAGCAGAACAACTGATTAATTTACGAATGCACAACACCTGCTTAATATGACCGGTGTCAGTAAATGTAGAGAAAAATAAGTTATAGTTAGTCAAGAACGCTCTAGGTAACATGTAAACAGCCTAACCAGCTGTGCTACGGCGAGTAAAATGGTCAGAGTGAGGTGTTCTCTCATTTGTGTCTGGAAGTAGCTAGCAAGCTAGCCAACTTTAGCCAGTTAGCTTGGGTGCTTGGTTGGGACAAGCATGCATTGGCAGGCAAGCTGCAGAAGGATGAGGAGGCTAAAATTCCCCATCGTTTATCAGAGCAATTTTGACGGCCAACTAGCTGAAAAAGTTTGAGAGGGTTAATCAAAATTTTCCTTCGTTAGATTTTAGCTCATCTTGCTCTGGCTAGCATTAGTAGTTGATCTTGTTGTTGTTTTTTGTGCATAAATGAGGGAGCGAAAGCCTACCTTTTCATGGTTGTTTGATCAATAGGACTGTAAAGTTCCCAAATGTAAGAGGACTCCCGTGGTGTTTACATATTTGCAGATTTCCATTCAGGTGTATTTTGTGGCTTTTGGCGAATGCGTTCTAATGATCTAAAGTCGCGCTGTTGCAACTGCCTGTAAACACACAGTCCAGTTCAAAGTGAATGATGGCAGGCTCGTGTGGCAAATGGCTTGTTTGTATAAAGGTCTACTGTAGCTCTTGATTGGCTATAGCGCACCGGTCTGTGTATACTCTGGTCCCCGACAAGACAGATGTTTTTATTTTTTATTTTATTTACTACAGTGTCTATTAATTGTCCAAACGCACAGCCACTTTCCCACTCTATATTGTGATATAATTTTCACAAATATATATTTAGTATACATAATTCCCAAACATTCTAAGAATTTGTGAAAATGACCATATCTATTTCTATGACCATATCTTTTAAATTGTCATATTCTTCCTGGAGATCTATATGAACAGATTTTAATAAGATTTAATGTTGCTAAAATGCTGTCAGTTCCGCTTTAAATGCAACAATGTTTCACACATAAGTTATTTTCAAAGAGATGGCTAACAACAGCAAGCGCGCTGCAATAAAAAACACAGTTCCATTCACCAGATGATCATTTGAAACTTAACTTCTTGTTTAAAGTTATTCTTGAAAAGGGAGAAGCTAACAAATTAGCAACAACATCCTCTTTGATAACACATGCTGCAAACTAGCAGACAACAAAAACTAGCTAGCTAGACCATGGGAAAACTGCTGCTATTGCGCAGTGACCTGTTGGCCTTCAAGAAGGCAGAAGTTTCCATACGTTTTTGTAAAAACGGTCCCACTCATTAAGTCAAAATGTGATTGGTTGAATCCAAAATGTTGCCCTAATACAGTTGAATGTCAGATGCCTTTATCTAGCTTCTGATGGCCTAGCCAATGCCTGACTTAGCTAGCTAGATTTATCTCCCCAGAGACCAGCAAATAAAAATCCTGATTGGATATTTTTTCCTCTTCCGTGTTAACCCTTTCCAACTAAAATTGAAGAGATTACATCAGAACATCATTGAAAATAATTAAATAATAATCATTATTATTATATTCATTATTTTATAAATCCTTAGCCCTTCTCTGAAGGTGTAGAAGGCCCATTGTTCCCCCTTGTGTTTGGGTTAGTAATAATTTGTATAGTGGCTCTATTTTCCCTCAGCATGCATTATTTCACTATTCTGAATGTCTAAAGAATCCATATATTGTTCTGAAATATGAACACAGAAATACTGGACATTTTGAACTCTTATTATGGTAGTGATTTGACAAAATTACAACATGGTCTTGAATTGGACTCGCACTTTTTTAGTCTCGGTCTTCACTCGGTCTCGGACCCCTTGTACCCTTCCTGGTCTCGCCCCCTCCGGTCTTGGTCTTGACTCAGACTCGATTTGCTCCGGTCTTGGATCGGTCTCGAACACAACACTGCACTATACTACAATGGACTACTGCTAGCTTCTAGCGCTAGGTCTACTACTGACAGGCAGCTCTGTACTTACAAGTCCATTGGGGTCCCTGGGGTAGCCTGCTTTAATGGAGGGGCGTGACTGAGTCGGGGCAGGGTGAGGATGGGAGCTGTATTGATGCCGGGGAAGGTGATACACATGATGGGGGAAATAAGGCTATATGGAACCCAGGGAGAGAGGAAGGATGAAGAAGGAGAATGGTTAAAACACACAGAATGAGGATTGTATGAGGGATCATTCATGCACATACACTACCGTTCAAAAGTTTGGGGTCACTTAGAAATGTCCTTGTTTTTGAAAGAAAAGCAATTTTTTTGTCCATTAAAATAACATCAAATTGATCAGAAATACAGTGTAGACATTGTTAATGTTGTAAATGGCTATTGTGGCTGGAAACGGCTGATTTTTTATGGAATATCTACATAGGCGTACAGAGGCCCATTATCAGCAACCATCAGTCTTGTGTTCCAATGGCATGTTGTGTTTGCTAATCCAAGTTTATAATTTGAAAAGGCTAATTGATCATTAGAAAACCCTTTTGCAATTATGTTAGCACAGCTGAAAACTGTTGTGCTGATTAAAGAAGCAATAAAACTGGCCTTCTTGAGACAAGTTGAGTATCTGGAGCATCAGCAATTGTGGGTTCGATTATAGGCTCAAAATGGCCAGAAACAAATAACTTTCTTCAGAAACTCATCAGTCTATTCTTGTTCTGAGAAATGAAAGCTATTCCATGCGAGAAATTGCCAAGAAACTGAAGATCTCGTACAATGCTGTGTACTACTCCCTTCACAGAACAGCGCAAACTGGCTCTAACCAGAATAGAAAGAGGAGTGGGAGGCCCCGGTGCACAACTGAGCAAGAGGACAAATACATTAGAGTGTCTAGTTTGAGAAACAGACGCCTCGCAGGTCCTCAACTGGCAGCTTCATTAAATAGTACCCGCAAAACACCAGTCTCAACGTCAACAGTGAAGAGGCAACTCCGGGATGCTGACCTTCTAGGCAGAGTTGCAAAGAAAAAGCCATATCTCAGACTGGCCAATAAAAGAAAAAGATGAAGATGGGCAGTCTGAGATATGGCTTTTTCTTTGCAAGTCTGCCTAGAAGGTCAGCATCCCGGAGTCGCCTCTTCACTGTTGACGTTGAGACTGGTGTTTTGCAAAAGGGTTTTCTAATGATCAATTGGCCTTTTAAAATGATAAACTTGGATTAGCAAACACAACGTGCCATTGGAACACAGGACTGATGGTTGCTGATAATGGGCCTCTGTACACCTACAGTGGGGAAAAAAAGTATTTAGTCAGCCACCAATTGTGCAAGTTCTCCCACTTAAAAAGATGAGAGAGGCCTGTAATTTTCATCATAGGTACACATCAACTATGACAGACAAAATTCGATGTTTTTTCTCCAGAAAATCACATTGTAGGATTTTTTATGAATTTTTTTGCAAATTATGGTGGAAAATAAGTATTTGGTCAATAACAAAAGTTTCTCAATACTTTGTTATATACCCTTTGATGGCAATGACACAGGTCAAACGTTTTCTGTAAGTCTTCACAAGGTTTTCACACACTGTTGCTGGTATTTTGGCCCATTCCTCCATGCAGATCTCCTCTAGAGCAGTGATGTTTTGGGGCTGTCGCTGGGCAACACTGACTTTCAACTCCCTCCAAAGATTTTCTATGGGGTTGAGATCTGGAGACTGGCTAGGCCACTCCAGGACCTTGAAATGCTTCTTACGAAGCCACTCCTTCGTTGCCCGGGCGGTGTGTTTGGGATCATTGTCATGCTGAAAGACCCAGCCACGTTTCATCTTCAATGCCCTTGCTGATGGAAGGAGGTTTTCACTCAAAATCTCACGATACATGGCCCCATTCATTCTTTCCTTTACACGGATCAGTCGTCCTTGTCCCTTTGCAGAAAAACAGCCCCAAAGCATGATGTTTCCACCCCCATGCTTCACAGTAGGTATGGTGTTCTTTGGATGCAACTCAGCATTCTTTGTCCTCCATACACGATGAGTTGAGTTTTTACCAAAAAGTTATATTTTGGTTTCATCTGACCATATGACATTCTCCCAATCCTCTTCTGGATCATCCAAATGCACTCTAGCGAACTTCAGACGGGCCTGGACATGTACTGGCTTAAGCAGGGGGACACGTCTCGCACTGCAGGATTTGAGTCCCTGGCGGCTTAGTGTGTTACTGATGGTAGGCTTTGTTACTTTGGTCCCAGCTCTCTGCAGGTCATTCACTAGGTCCCCCCGTGTGGTTCTGGGATTTTTGCTCACCGTTCTTGTGATCATTTTGATCCCACAGGGTGAGATCTTGCGTGGAGCCCCAGATCGAGGGAGATTATCAGTGGTCTTGTATGTCTTCCATTTCCTAATAATTGCTCCCACAGTTGATTTCTTCAAACCAAGCTGCTTACCTATTGCAGATTCAGTCTTCCCAGCCTGGTGCAGGTCTACAATTTTGTTTCTGGTGTCCTTTGACAGCTCTTTGGTCTTGGCCATAGTGGAGTTTGGAGTGTGACTGTTTGAGGTTGTGGACAGGTGTCTTTTATACTGATAACAAGTTCAAACAGGTGCCATTAATACAGGTAACGAGTGGAGGACAGAGGAGCCTCTTAAAGAAAAAGTTACAGGTCTGTGAGAGCCAGAAATCTTGCTTGTTTGTAGGTGACCAAATACTTATTTTCCACCATAATTTGCAAATAAATTCATAAAAAATCCTACAATGTGATTTTCTGGATTTCTTTTTCTCAATTTGTCTGTCATAGTTGACGTGTACCTATGATACAAATTACAGGCCTCTCTCATCTTGTTAAGTGGGAGAACTTGCACAATTGGTGGCTGACTAAATACTTTTTTTCCCCCACTGTATGTAGATATTCCATAAAAAATCAGCTGTTTCCAGCTACAATTGCCATTTACAACATTAACAATGTCTACACTGTATTTCTGATCAATTTGATGTTATTTTAATGGACAAAGAAATTGCTTTTCTTTCGAAAACAAGGACATTTCTAAGTGACCCCAAACTTTTGAACGGTAGTGTATATCTGAGGTAACCCTAGAACTGTGAAGGATCCTTTTTTTAGAGAGGAGGTCTGCACTGTAACATTTAAAAATGAGGTTAAGTGGGTAAAGGGACCTGTATTGTGAGGTGCACTGAGATTGCTGTGCAGTTACATTAACAAACAGAGGTAAGTAACCATCACTTAACAAAGCATGGATTTCTGTCATACCTTGTCCATAGACTGCTTACAGGGTCGTGTGTCTCCACAGGTAAACTGAGGTAGATTCAACTGCACTGTGATTCTCTTCATACTAAGGTCTACCTGAAGTACGTTGAACAAAACTTTGCTACTCTACAGTATCCTAAATTAATGTGTTCTGAGCTACATTCAGGTGCATTCAGTTGCCTGTCTGCTGATGTGTTGATGTCTCACCCGGGTGTAGAAGGGGTGCTGGGGGGCAGGCATGCTGTAGTAACTGCCGTGGGGCTGGGGGGGCACCAGCCCTGGGGGGGGCAGGGAGCCAGAGAAGGAGCCCGTGGGGGAGCAGGCAGCCGAGTGCTGGCCGAAGGCAGAGGCGGCGCGGGCTGGGACGTCCTGCAGGGGCAGCGTGGGATAGGTCACTCCTCCAATGTGCATCTGCTCCCTGGCAGCACGGACATCTACAGGGAGAGGGGGAGCGACAAGAGAGGGGGAAAGATGGTAAGAGGACTAGATAAGGAGAGAGATCGAGAGAGGGAGGGAGAGTGGGTGGAGAGACAGAAAGACATTATGTAGAGAGAGAGGGAGAGGAGGAGGGGAGGGAAGGAAGAGCGGGGGAGTGAAAAGGAGACGTTTCATCTCTGATGCTGATGTAGATCACGTCTTGGCTCCGACTATAAAGAGACTTTAGATCCACCCACTCAGAAACGGATTCAGCCAAACATATTTGATCATTCTTAGCGGGTTCACATAGAGAGGTTCTGTGGAGAGAATGCAAATCAAATGCCACATACATGGATAAACTTTCATTATGTGATTGAGTGCACTTGAGGGAGCAGGGTGGAAAATAACACATTGTTAAAGTTATTGGCTTTACTGAAAATAGACAACATTAATTCAAACTCTCACTTTTGTCTTTTTTTTCTGCTGATAAATTGCATTTTATAATAACATTTTAAAAAACAGAACATAGTGGGATAAGTGGCCAGGTAAGAAACGGGCACCAAAATGTCTCGGTCATAAGAGTGCATGTTGTTGAATGATGGGTTGAGTAGAGACCCAATCCTGCAGTACAGAGCACAATGGAGGCCTTATGAGTGAGTGAGTCAGCCTGGTAAGTGAGTGGGTATCACTGACCACCGTGCCCACTGGCTGGCTGCAGGACACTGGAAACGGGACTGGATGACTGGCCAGGGAGGGACAGGGGCATTGGTCACCTTCCAAAGCTCACGCTCACACACACACACACACACACACACACACACACACACACACACACGCTTACACAGTACTGTCTTCGTTATTAGTGACGTCAGGCCTTTGAGCTGGATAGCTGACCGACTGTTGTCTTTGGCTGCATTTAAATGTGTTTGGTTGCAGATCAATGAGTAAGTAACAATTTAGCCAATTACACAAATATAATGACAGAACACTTACAGTGCCTTCAGGAAGTATTCATACCCCTTGACTTATTCCACATTTTATTATGTTTCATTGATTTTCTATCTCACCCATCTACACACAATACCCCATAATGACAAACTTAAACCATGTTCTTAAGACATTTTTGCAAACTTATTGAAATTTAAATACAGAAATATCTCACTTATATAAGTATTAATAAGTCAAGGGGTATGAATACTTTCTGAAGTATTCATACCCCATTCACTTCAGTTCATGGCATGTTCACAAAGAGAGTCTCAGAGTAGAAATGATAACATGGAATCAGTTTTTGCTTTTAGATCATAATGAATAAGACTATATGGACAGGGGGGACTGATCCTAGATCAGCACTCCTACTCTGAGATGATTTGTGAATATGGGCCTTTCAGCTGAGTGTAATGACTGAGTGTAATGACCATTAGAATAGTGAATAGTGATGCTTTTGTGTAAATATAAGGACCTGCGATGATCTCCCGGAGTTTGGGGTCCAGGTTGACAGTGCAGGGGAGGAACATCTCCACGTCGCGTGCCGTGAGGACGGGAGTCCTAGAGGACAGAAAAACCTCGAAGCTACGGATGTCCCCGTCGATCTCCAGCAGGGGCTCTACGTCTTTGGTGGTGGGGATGTTTTTGGAGATTCTAGAGAGGAAGCGAGAGAGAAAGAGGAAATAGGAGGAGGGACTGTTAAACATGCTAAAGATGACAAGATATTTAGTCTATCTCTAGTAGAGGCCCTGCAACGGTCATTGCTGCTCTTGCTGTTTCCGGCATCATGAAAGAGAGAAACTAATTCCATTTAGTTTGGTGACTGATAGCTCCAGTTTGTTATCTGGGTCTGACAGCAGAGGAAACATGAGTAGATGACTATCAGAGGTTTGCAGCTCTGACTCATTTAGAAGCTGTGTTCAAATGGGAGCGTTCTGCAAACTAAGATGTTTAAGCTTTTTTTGTAGCCTCGAAGTAAATATACCCTGAGTGTACAAAACATTACATAGACTGACCAGGTGAATCCACTTCAAATCAGTGTAGATGAAGGGGAGGAGACAGGTTAAAGAAGGATTTTTAAACCTCAAGACAATTGAGACATGGATTGTGTATGTGTGCCATTCAGAGGGTGAATGGGCAAAACAAAATATTGAAGTGCCTTTGAACAGGGTATGATAGGTGCTGGGTTTTTCACACTCAACAGTTTCCTGTGTGTATCAAGAATGGTCCACCACCCAAAAGGACATCCAGCCAACTTGACAACTGTGGGAAGCATTGGAGTCAACATGGGCCAGCATCCCTGTTTAATGCTTTCGACACCTTGTAGAGTCCATGCCCCGACGAATTGAGGCTGTTCTGAAGGCAAAAGGGGGGGTGCAACTCAATGTTAGGAAGGTGTTCCTAATGTTTGGTATACTCCTTGTATATTTATGGAGATGATGTCATTGAACATTATCTCACAAATATTGCATGTCCATCCATTACATACAGATAGATGTACGGTAGATGACCCAACTGCATTGTGCAAGTTCTTCCACCCAACCACCAGAAAATGGTATCAGAAAAATTTTCATACCTTGCCATTTTTGCTTTTCTTGCTGGAAAAGTTATTCAACCACGGCAAATAGCACATTATTAATGCATTCTGAGGCATGAAGTCATGTTTTCATCATCCGTGTGGGCGTCAGCCTTATCAGATGAATGAGCAGATTTCTCCAGAACAAACATTTTGCTTTTCATTTGTCAGTCGGTCTGTCTGTCTGTGTGTGTGTGTGTGTGTGTGTGTGTGTGTGTGAGAGTGTGTGTGTGTGTGTGTGTGTGTGTGTGTGTGTGTGTGTGTCTCTCTATTAAGTTGTGGGAAAGCACAAGCTGGGTTTGGAGGGTATTGCCTGATCCATTTTTGGGGGAGGAACAGAGGTTGGTCTTTCTGCTGTTACCACACCATCGTGCTAAACTAACTGAAGGCGAGCTGGTCTGGGCCCAGCCTTACTGCTGCTGTTAGCTCATCCGAATATGCTCAATTTGCGGAGGAAAAATCTTGACACAATTGAAGCTCAGATACCTTAATGCCCAGCTGAGCTAGATCTGCTGGGTAAACAGACCGGGGTTAAGACCTTCCGAGGCGTCGTTGTTGTACACAGGCAGGAACACACACGCAACCAGATGTACAGTAGTCTAAATGCTGTAACAGAATCAGTGCCCTCTGCACCTACTGACACGCAATCCACAAACACCTGACTCAGTGACGTCAGTAGCGGAGACCAGTGATGATTTGCCCAAGCTAGTGTTCTGGTTAGCTGTGCTAATCCACATTTTACCTTGATTAACCTGGGTCAAAGGGGTCAGAATAGTCTGAACAAGTCACAGGTTGTTATTAGTGCTGTGTCAATCAAATAATCATGACAATATAGGTACACTTTTAGAAAAAAGGGTTCCACATGGGTTTTTCGGCTGTCCCTATTAGAGAACCCTGTGAAGAACTCGTTTGGGTTCCAGGTAGAATCCAAAAGGGTTCTTCAAAGGGTTTTCCCATGGGGAGAGCCGAAGAACCCTTTTAGGTTCTAGATGGAACCTTTTTTCTAAGAGTGTAAGCAGTGCACTCTTAGACCTCTAGTTATGTGAAATAAGTAAGGAATAACCAATGAACATCCCCCAAAATGACTCTACATTGATACCTGGAAATAGCTTAAAGGGATAGGTAGCATAAATGTTACCACATGTAACATATGGATTTGCATTAGAATACACATCAAAAGCCCCAATGCAAAGTTAAACCTCACTTTCCTATTTTTCGAATTATTACATAAAACTGATCAGAATTCTGAAGTCATGCCGGAAAAAACATTTGCTGCGTGTGACGTAATATGGAGGACCCGGCAAGCCAGCCTATTTCCTATAATGTAAACTCCAACAGAAATAACTTAAAATGTATAACTTCATATTAAACCAAATCAATTGTAATTTTCTGCCAACTAGCCTGCTAACGTTAGCCCTACTAGCCTGCTAACATTACGTTAGCACTGCGTGAGTCAGCCAGTTGCTATAAACCCCTATCTTACAGCTACATTAAAGTATACCAAAGTTTTGGAAATACATAACGCCATCTAACCAGTTACCAAATAATGTTACCGGTCTATGCAGTTATCGTAGCCAGCAAGCCAGCCAGCCAGCTAAAGTTAGTTATTTTATCCTGCCAGCTAACTAGCCTAGCTAGCCAACGACCACAGTCTACATAGCTATGTAGTAAGCCAGAGAAAAACTAGTCTAGCACAGACAGAAACCCACAGAACAAAACAAAAAAAAGCCACCAGATATAAAGTAGAGATTGGCCAGCTAACTAGCCTACCACCACGGTCTACATAGCTAAGTAGAAAGCCAGAGAACAACTAGTCTAGCATAGGCAGATACCCACAGAACACAACAACAAAAAAGCCAGCCGATTAAGAGAGCGGAGACTTACCGATTCACGGCTGAATTAGCTACCAAAGTCAAAGAAGAGCCAAGGAGAGGCCTTCAGAGGGAGAGTCAGCTAGCTAATCCAATAGAGATATAGTGAGGTAACTCCTCATTGAATTTACCCGGTTCATCTCCATCACTGCTGACACTCGCGATGTTCCGGTAGATCGGTAGGAAATAGAGGTTGCAGGGTTCACATTCACGCTCGGCACAGCACCTGGTTTCAGTCAGTCTCATTCCGAATCCTGCCATCCACTGGTTATTCTAAGCCATTGAAGTACTCTGCGGTGAAATAAGCACCGCATACAGTAGACGTGTGCACGGTTCCCATACTCCAAATCCACTCGCTTCAACTTGACAAACTGTTCCGACTTCAAAGCTTTGTCCTTGTGGGCATTACTGCACTAGCTACAAACGACCGAAATCAACTACAACAGTCACTCGCTCGTTCGACTACCACTACCAAACACACAGGAGAAAAAGAGTTGCAGTTTTTTGGCATTCATTTATATGGTTTCTTCTTTGTGGATGTGCATAGTAGCTCACCAGTGCCAACACTTGGTTTGGAATATAATTACATGCTAGTATGGCTAGTAGCTAACGTTAGCCAGCTGGAACTAGCTAGGTAGCACCGGTTCTCCATATGATGTTGAGAAATAGTGCATTGTGGGTAGTTCCGAAGATAACCAGAAATAAGTTAATAAATATATAAAAATGCTAAAACATAAATAGGTTTGTAGTTATTGGTAACCAGATCACAACTACAACTAAGTTACTAAGTCTTTGACCACACTGTGTTGTTACTTGTGTGTAAAAACTCATGCTTCCTATCCTTTAAGGCATCAGCCCAAAATGTTTTTGTGGTTTGCCATAGTAGTGGATGTGCTGACACACAGGGTAGCGTCTGAGTCTAGCCCAGGAGGAAGTGCAGGCAGGGTGTGAAGCAGGTGGGTGAGAAAGAAGAGGAGAGCAGAACAGCTGTGCTCCGCTGGACAATGCCCCTCACTGTGCTCCATCACAACCATCTAACCAAAGGGTCAGTGCGGTCTGAAGGGACGGACAGATGGCCATGCTAATAGTCAACTGACCTCTCACATTAAGGCCATTAGGTGGCCGCCTGTCATGAAGTACACATCCACAAAACAGGCACATAACCTCTCAGACACTCTCACTAACAAAACACACAGTCTCAAATGCACAAAACACACTGTCCACTACCAAAAACACCCAATCACACCTGGGAAGGTCAGTGACGATGGGGATTTCCATAGATAGATTCATGGTAGTGAGGGAATGTGATTTTGATTCCATTTCCCACGCGCTGTATTAACCCACGCTGAGAGCCTTGTGCTGTTCCAGCAGTCCAGCTGGGCTCTCTGTTTATTTGTGTGCACAAAGACGCAGACCAACAGGAGCCAGTGACACACACACACACACACACACACACACACACACACTAGTGCGGCGCTGATGGGACTTCCTCCAGCTCTTGCAGTGTCTACACAGAGCACACACTTCCCTACTGCCTCTAAGGAATCTTAAGTGATGCTTTGTCTTTCCTAAGAAAGCCTAGAGCTATTCCACATAGTTTACAAAGATAATGCCAAAGAATTGCTAATGAATGCGGCCATTCAAACGTATTCTGAACCCTTACCTCGGACGTTTTATTTAAACATTTTTGGATTAACAAATTATTTTGAGTATTAACTCCCTTTAACACACATATTTCAAATGTATTTAATTATAACCTGTATTTGACCTAGTCAAATCTTCAGTCTCAACCCAATGTATGGGGAGTAGAGTCGAGCATACTTCTACAGAGATGCCCAGAGCTACAAATATGAGTACTTAGAGGAGCCTTTTATTGACTCTGGCCCATGGTGGCACCCAGCACACACACACTGTTAACAACATCTTCCAAAGATGGACTGCATGGACTAAGTAAAGGTATCCATCACTGTGGCACAGAGACCCCATTCCTAGCATTCACACCACGCTGTCCAGTCGGAACTGTCTGCTGGCAGCCACCAGTCACCCACAAGGGACTGAGTCATCCAAACATCATCTCTCTTAATACTAGTGGCCTTGTTCTGATAATAGCACAGGTCAGGGAAATCACACATGAAATCACACATGATGGCATGGGTTTATTACCTGGTGTCCCATCCAACACGTTTGACCATCTACTGTGGCACATGGAGCGCTGTTTTAAGTGCCACCGAACGTGCCAATGGGACACTTCAAGAGACAGATTGAGTCAATTGAGGAAGAGTTTTAAGCCATGACGTCAAGTAATTTACATGAATTGCTTCTGACACTGGTGGAGGGAGATAGGAGTGGCTTTGTTAGATTGCCTATTAGTCCATCTTTCGTGAGACTGACAAGCTGGAGGATTGCGCTGTGGCGAGATCGGAAGCCGACACGTTACTTTTAAAAGTCTGGATACAGAAATAAAGCATTTCAGGAATCCTGCAGCCGGTTTCACACAATAGCCCCATTGATGGGGACTTGTGTTACAAGCACAGGCTCTTATACACTGTCTATGTTGCAGCACGTAGCGCTTGGGAGGTTTCTGGGCTCTTCCAAATGCTAATCGATCCAAAAACTGGACCGACAAGCCTTTCTTCTCCTCCAACACTCCCACATACTGCAGCTGACGGGAAAGAGCAGAATTCTCCCTCTATTCCTCCCTGCTCTCCTACCTCTGCAGGCGCTGAATGTGTCACTTGACAATGCTTACAGCCACCCTCTGTGTGTGGACGATGTGCAGACGCCCCACAATGAGGCTCTGAGCATTTCCATAAAGGGGCCCGGAGAGAAGCGAAATGCCAACACACATTTGTTTTCAGAGGGCCATAAAGAGAATCAATGTTTGGTGGTGAAAAGAACAACAGTGGTCTGTCACAATGGCGAGCCCGGGCCTTGGGGTGTTCCTCAGGCCGACGGGCTGGCAGGCGAACTCGAAGAGGCCCTCTAACCAACGGATGGACTGGCTGGCGCGTGGCCTCGCAGCGTCAACACTCCAGAGTGGGAGGATTATTGTGCGAGAGGAATCTGCCAAGCCCTCGTCTATCCGAAAACGAGAGCAAATTATGTTTTCACTTCAGACGCCGCCATGTTTTCGTCTACTTAAACTGTCATGTTTCTTTGGCCGAATTCTTAGAGTTAGGCGTTCTTTGCTTGGGTCTCGTCTTCTCTCCGCTATGGCAGCGGACATTAAAAGCGACTTTGCTTTTCGTATACATCCGTGGCAAAGTTTAAGCCTGTAATTGCCATTCCTATGTACTAAGCCGAGCCTTTGTATCTAAAACGGACCGCAGAGAAATGCAGCATAATGGGAAACATACCACTCTGATAAAAAACGCTGCAGCCTTAGAATGGCCTCTCAGAAATAGGGTTGGGATTCAGAGTTTCTCCGAAATGATTAAACTCATCTGTACACAAACCCACCCGTTCCAGACCCCAAAAACCTTAGCTGAACCCTTCATTCAAGGGAGCTAAACTCAATTCCTAACAAACCCTGTACAGGATATTAGAAAACTAGGCCCAGTTTGATGATTTATGTGAAAGAGAACGTTTTGAACTCCAGTCCACTGCCGAGTGTGGCTAAATGGTAATAGAATGAGGCAATCCTGACATGAATTGAGCAGAGCAGTCAGTCAATGTGGGTGTTTGATGCGTGTCAGGGTTGAGACGGTATATGAGAAGTCAAACAAGTGATTCATGTAAGTTTGTTATTTTCTGGCAAAAACATGAAAACAGCCCCGACCGATAATCCTTTACTTAACTTTATTGATGAGGAGATACCTCAGACACAGGATGACCTGATGAAGAGAGACTGAGTCATAAAGGGAGGGAGAGAAAGAGAGAGAGAGACAGTTCTATTTGGAGAAGACCACGGATTCATTTCTTTACCTCGCCTCTATTCGGCTTCCTATCTGGGAAAGGGAGAAAGAGGAGTGGCCAGCTAAGAGCAGGATTCTTAAGAACGCTCTTAAGAAAGTTATTTGGAACAGAGTGCTTCCAAGTTTTTAAGAACTTGTCATTCAAGCACTCGGTACCAGATAAATCTGATAAATCCTTAAGCTATACAGTGGCTGCATAACTATGCTCAGAATAAGAAGCCACTTTTAAGCGCTGATGGGAAAAGACACCCCATTCTTTTTCATTGCTCGGCTCAAGGGATTTCCAGAAAAGAGTTCCCAGAAGAGTTGGCATTTGCACGCGCACGCTTTGCTCGCCACACACTTCCTTTATCTCTAGCGACCATCCTTTCCTCTATGCTGGCTTGACCCTATTTGACCTTTGTGGTCCTGGGTGGCACATCAAAGCTAGAGGGGGTTCAGTGTGCCCTAGGCCCTGTGACTGGTGACGAGCAACACTGTCCACTTTAAAGGTCACCGATGACCCCTCGCAGCCCAGCGCTGCTATTTATTAAACCCCTGCCACCTTCTACCACATACGGCACAATAGAGAGGGAGGGAGATCACTGATATGTCCACAGGCACATCCAGAAAGACAGACTCCAGCATAAACATGCTCACTCACCCACACAAACGCTCATGGGCTCACCACACTAGCATACACCCACTAGCACACAAAGCCAAAGTGATAACAGTGTAGTCAAAGTCTAGTCAGGTAAAACCAAGCACACAATCTATCTGAGCAGTCGGTCTCCTTATATTCTGATTATGGAGTTTAGTCTTTGATAGTCTATCCTTGATTTACAACATTTTAGATCACATGGCTGTTATCCCTGCTTTCATCTGAAAACAGTCTGGTTCTCCTGTTTCAAAGAGTTTAATCCTTCAAATTCAACTTCAGTTTATGAAATAATGAAAGGGCTCTAAGTGGATTTGCTAAGAAGGAATGCTACATAACAGACCGCTTTTCCATCACATGGTTATTAACCACCAGAGTATGTAGTGGTAGGGAAATGTGGCATCCCACTGCCACTTCTTTTGGCCATCTCCACAAACACTAATTCCAGGGACACACCTTAACACAGAGGTTGGGCCTGTGGACATCGGCCACAGCTCCGTACTAAATTGCATTTTTCGATTTTCTTCACATTTTGTGCCATAGACTCTGTGGCCATTTTGTTTGCTCTGCGGGAGCCTGGTGAAGCTCGCCTAACTGCTGATTCATCCCTTAGTCACGACGGTCCAACACCTGAGGGATGTATGTAACTAACACACCCACCCGGGCCCTGGTGCGTCTCCCATCTTCACACACAGAACAGATGGGTGGGTATTGCTGGACCAGTCCAGGGCTGATCCCACTGGATAAACATGTCCATATGAGAGGCGAAGGCAGAATGAAACATCACCACCTGGACTGCCCACACTCTCAGCCCACCTGAGAGAAAACTATCAGGTGGACACTAGACACAGCAAAGACCAGGGCTTAGGCCATTACAGTAGTCACTGCTCATACACTCAATTTTTCTGTTCAGCACTGGTAGCAAAACTCCGGGATTCACTTTCAAATCATGAAATATAGCCACTATTCCCTGTAGTCGCTGGATACTATGGTGCTATGTCAATGTGCCAACAATCATGGTTTATGAGGACACCTGACATTGACAAGGGGTATTCACATGAGCCACAATTGTAGTCCTGCAGACCTCATAATAGCCCTGTCTACAGGGCCCCCTTCACCCCCTTCACTCCATCTCCCCTATCTGGAGGGCATACGGTTTGTCACAGACACTGTGTGGACTCAATAAAGAGCTCCCTATCAGAGATAGACCACACTCTATTGGGAAATAGATGGCTTTTCAGCAGCTTTATAATTTAGAGCGCTTTAGGGCCTCTTGGCAAATAACGGCAGCACTATTGAATTACAAGTTTACTCCTTCCACCAAAATGCCTCCTGCAGGATTTAGCTCAGGGACAATGGGCTCCCTCTGAGGGAAAAGGCGACAGGGAGAAAAGCGTTTTTCTACTGTTAGCAGTGCAATCGAGATTTTACAGACAAGTTGTGTACGTGATGGAAATACGGCATTAACAATAGCGTATAGAGGAAGAGAAGCAAAACGACTTCATTCAAAGGCAGTAAAGTTCAAAAGTGTTCCAGGAAAAAAAGCTAATCTCCTTTTGTGGCCAAGTATTTAGAAGCTTATTAGGATTTTCAATAAAGGGAATCGCACACATGCGCTTTAGAAAGCGCTTTTATCTCAACGCCTAATTGCGACGAAATTACAATAATTGTCCCAATTAAAGTAATCCAGAATGAACAGTATGTCATCTTAATGTTTCAGTACTTGGGAGAAGAGGCTTCCTAATTAGCCTAAATTGCCTTGCACGTATTCATTTCGAGTGTCATTAGTTATAAGTTCTGAAGCACTCAGAGAATCACTTGAAAGCCTGGATCCGGGCACGTCTCTGAGAGGTCAATTGTTCACTGGATGAATACAATAGCTGAGGATTGTGACAGCGGCAGATTGAGCAAGAGCAGAGTGGCAGAGAATGGAAGCGAGCATCAGAGTTAAATCCCTTCCTGTTAAAGAGAGCCAGGACCCAGGGACAGCATAGTGATGGAGACTGAGGTCAGATGACGCAGATGCTAAGCTACAGGACTGTTTTGCTAGCACAGACTGGAACATGTTCCGGGACTCTTCAGATAGCATTGAGGAGTAAACCACATCAGTTACTGGCTTCATCAATAAGTGCATCGATGACGTCGTCCCCACAGTGACCGTACGTACATACCCCAACCAGAAGCCATGGATTACAGGCAACATCCGCACTGAACTAAAGGGTAGAGCTGCCGCTTTCAAGGAGCGGGACAATAACCCGGACGCTTATAAGAAATCCCGCTATGCCCTCCGACGAACCATCAAACAGGCAAAGAGCCAATACAGGACTAAGATTGAATCGTACTACACCGGCTCTGACGCTCGTCGGATGTGGCAGGGCTCGAAAACTATTACGGACTACAAAGGGAAACCCAGACGCGAGCTGCCCAGTGACACAAGCCTACCAGACGAGCTAAACCACTTCTATGCTTGCTTCGAGGCAAGCTGTTCCGGATGACTATGTGATCACGCTCTCCGTAGCCGATGTGAGTAAGACTTTTAAGCAGGTCAACATTCACAAGGCCGCAGGGCCAGACGGATTACCAGGACGTGTACTCCGAGCATGTGCTGACCAACTGGCAAGTGTCTTCACTTGACTGAGTCTGTAATACAAACATGTTTCAAGCAGACCACATTTACATTTTAGTCATTTAGCAGACGCTCTTATCCAGAGCGACTTACAGTTAGTGAGTGCATACATTATTTTTTTATTTTTCATACTGGCCCCCCCGTGGGAATCGAACCCACAACCCTGAAGTTGCAAACGCCATGCTCTACCAACTGAGCTACATCCCTGCCGGCCATTCCCTCCCCTACACTGGACGACGCTGGGCCAATTGTGCGCCGCCCCATGGGTCTCCCGGTCACGGCCGGCTATGACAGAGCCTGGATTCGAACCAGGATCTCTAGTGGCACAGCTAGCACTGCGATGCAGTGTCTTAGACCACTGCGCCACCATAGTCCCCATGCCCAAGAACACTAAGATAACCTGCCTAAATGACTATCAACCCGTAGCACTGATGTCTGTAGCCATGAAGTGCTTTGAAAGGCTGGTCATGGCTCACATCAACACCATTATCCCAGAAACCCTAGACCCTTTCCAATTTGTATACCGCACCAACAGATCCACAGATGATGCAATCTCTATTGCACTCCACACTGCCCTTTACCACTTGGACAAGAGGAACACCTACGTGAGAATACTATTCATTGACTACAGCTCAGTGTTCAACACCATAGTGCCCTCAAAGCTCATCACTAAGCTAAGGATCCTTTGACTAAACACCTCCCTCTGCAACTGGATCCTGTACTTCCTGACGGTCCGCCCCCAGGTGGTAAGGGTAGGTAACAACACATCTGCCACGCTGATCCTCAACACGGGGGCCCCTCAGGGGTGCGTGCTCAGTCCCCTCCTGTACTCCCTGTTCACCCATGACTGCATGGCCAGGCACAACTCCAACACCATCATTAAGTTTGCCGACGACACAACAGTGGTGTGCCTGAACACCGACAACGATGAGACAGCCTATGGGAGGAGGTCAGAGACCTGGCCGTGTGGTGCCAAGATAACAACCTCTCCCTCAACATGATCAAGACAAAGGAGATGATTGTGGACTACAGGAAAAAAAGAGGACTGAGCACGCCCCCATTCTCATTGACGGGGCTGTAGTGGAACAGGTTGAGAGCGTCAAGTTCCTTGGCGTCCACATCACCAACAAACTATCATGGTCCAAACGCACCAAGACAGTCGTGAAAAGGGCAAGACAAAGCCTATTCCCCCTCAGGAGACTAAAAAGATTTGGCATGGGTCCTCAGATCCTCAAAAAGTTATACAGCTGCACCATCGAGAGCATCCTGACTGGTTGCATCACCGCCTGGTTTGGCAACTGCTCGGCCTTCCGACCGCAAGGCACTACAGAGGGTAGTGCGTACGGCCCAGTACATCACTGGGGCCAAGCTTCCTGCCATCCAGGACCTCTATACTAGGCGGTGTCAGAGGAAGGCCCTCAAAATTGTCAAAGACTCCAGCCACCCTAGTCATAGACTGTTCTCTCTGCTACCGCACGGCAAGCGGTACCGGAACGCCAAGTCTAGGTCCAAAAGGCTTCTCAACAGCTTCTACCCCCAAGCCATAAGACTCCTGAACAGCTAATCATGGCTACCCGGACTATTTGCACTGCCCCCCCACCCCATCTTTTTACGCTGCTGCTACTCTGTTAATTATTTATGCATAGTCACTTTAACTCTACCCACATGTACATATTACCTCAACTAGCCGGTGCCCCCGCACATTGACTCTGCACCGGTACCCCCCTGTATATAGCCTCCCTACTGTTATTTTTATTTTATTTTACTTCTGCTCTTTTTTTCTCAACACTTTTGTTTTTGTTGTTTTATTTTACTTTACTTTTTTATTAAAAAATAAATGCATTGTTGGTTATGGGCTGTAAGTAAGCATTTCACGGTAATGTCTACACCTGTTGTATTCGGCGCATGTAGAAAATAAAATGTGATTTTATTTCATTTGACCAAGCAATAACCCCTATATGGAAGTTTAAGAAACATTGTTCATGTACTGGGATGTTGTAATCTAAAGTAAAACCAATTTTTCTATGTGAAATATACTGAATAAACATATAAACGCAACATGTAAAGTGTTGGTCCCATGTTTTATGAGCTGAAATAAAAGATCCCATAAGTGCAAAAAGCTTATTTCCCTCAAATTTTGTGCACAAATTTGTTTACATCCCTGTTAGTGAGCATTTCTCCTTTGCCAATATAATCCATCCACCTGTGTCTCAAGTTGAGGGAGTGTGCAATAGTCATGCTGACTGCAGTAATGTCCAACAGTGCTGTTGCCAGATAATTGAATGTTCCTTTCTCTACCATAAGCCGCCTCAAACGTCGTTTTAGAGAATTTGGTCCAACCGGTCTCACAACCGCAGACCACGTGTAACCAGGACAGCCCAGGACCTCCACATCCGACTTTTTCACCTACGGGGGGTGCTGAGGAGTTAGCCCTTTTGTGGGGAAAAAATATGTATTATTGACTGGGCCTGGCTCCCCAGTGGGTGGGACTGGCTTCCAGGTGGGTGGACCTATGCCCTCCCAGGCCCACCCATGGCTGTGCCCCTGTGAAATCCATAGATTAGGTTTTAATTAATTATTTCAATTGACTGATTTCCTTCTATGAACTGTAACTCAGTAAAATCTTTGAAATTGATGCATGTTGGGTTTATATTTTTGTTCAGTATAATAACAAATCCAACCAGATATGGATTGAAACATGCTCTCAGTGCAAGAGAACTGTTGTTTTGCCTTAATCCAGAAACTGAATACAGCTTTTGATTGAATAGTGTGGTGTCGTGAAACAGAACGAGCCAGGGAAAGACATATGGGCGAAGGCTATATAGAGTAGTTAAGAAAAGTGTTTTTTGGTGCTTGACACGGATTCCTGGCCTTCTGTTTCCTGTGAGGGGCTGTGTGTGTGTGTGTTTGTGTGAATGAACGTGCCTCGCTCGCGTCTCGGGGTCTGATTAATTATAGTGATCCTCAGAGGAGCGGGGGGGTGACATATGTTCCCGCGCTGCACCGCTCCTCTCCTCTGTGAGAGCTTGGAGGTGTGTGAGAGGTGTGTGTGTGTGGGGGTAGGGGGGTACTACAGGGGCATCCTGGCACAGACCGGGCACCAGATGTCAGAGCAGATCCAGGACCAAGGCTCTGGCTCGAAAGACCGACCAACCAACACTTTTAACGCTGAAAATCCGGTTGGAGCTCCCGAAATAGACTCCCCGAGGATCTGACTCGGCTCAAACTTCCCCACAGATCACAACTACCGACAGCCGGAAATCTCTACTTGTGTTATTTTGTGATCACCAAAATAGTTTCCATTTGCTGCTTTCCGGAAGCTTGTTTTTTTTGGTGCGATGCTGAACATAACATACCACTCTGGGGTACTGATCTGAAGATATTTATTCCTGATCTGAAACAACAACCACAGAAGCCAGCAGCTGTTATTCATCCTTATAACGACCAGAGGGAGCCCGATTCGCATCTCCTTTAAAAACTGAAATGAGAAGGCTGCATAGAACATTGCACCACAACTCACAGACTCTCAAGACTCTCATTCAATTTGCGAGTGATCAAAAGAACAATGATCCACCATCTCCATTCGAGCAGTAAATCCGACAGCTATAAATACCGGCGCTCTCCAAAACACTTTTAATTTTGTTTGCGTTTCAATTTCCGTAAGTGCGTTAGGCAGGCCCTGCACACTGGCTCGCCACCCAAGGTGTAATTTGTTTTGTGTGCCCTGCAGAACAAGTGAGACAAACACGTTGACCCTGTCATGTGTGGCTGTGGTTTGGGGCCAATGTCCCCCGCAGGACATTGCCATCTTTGTTCCCCCTTCTCTACATTAAAGGATTGCTTGGCAGCGCTGGCCTTACAGTTAATGATAAATTGCTGATGTTATTAGACAGATTATGCACATTCTGCAGCAGATTAGACGGCTTGGCCCACTTTGACAATGGGAATAATCTGGTGCACCTCTCGCTGTGCTCCGCCAACGGCATCACGCAAGCTTCTGGGATGAAAGTTGCTAAAAACAGCTTTTGGCCATTTTGACAGCCTGTTTGTGTGATATCAAGAAATCCGTTTTTTTCTTTGTTCTTTCTTTTGAGAGGTCAGAGACACATGCTACATTTATAGTTTATTTTTAGTTGGAAGGACAGTGTGACAGTTTCACAGAACATTACTAATATGACTAGGCTATATAGCGAATATAATAATAAGACTATAAAATACTACTAATATCACAAATTCACTGTCTTCCAAGTGCATGCTGCTCTCTGTGGCCTATATGGGCTGCAATAAACCTTACCGAGTGAGAACACTCTGCCTTATGACAGTTGACCTACGAGGAGTTGACTCACCCCCAAATACACATCAGCAGTAATCTATTCACTTATTAGACACTTGTGAGATATGAAGCACTCTAGTGTAGAGACAACTAACAATGTCAGCAAGACAAAAGGAGCTGATTGTGGACTACAGGAAATGAAGGGCCGAGCACACCCCCCATTTACATCAACGGAGCTATAGTGGAGCGGGTCGAGAGCTTCAAGTTCCTCGGTGTCCACATTGCTAAGGACCGATCATGGTCAAAACACACAAACAGAGTCGTGAAGAGGGCACGACAAGGCCTCTTCCCCCTCAGGAGGCTGAAAAGATTTGGCATGGGCCCTCAGATCCTCAAAAAGCTCTACAGTTGCACCATTGAGAGAATCTGCATCACCACTTGGTATGGCAACTGCTTGGCATCCGACCATAAGGCGCTACAGAGGGTAGTGTGTATGGCCCAGTACCTCTTTTTATTTATTTATTTATTTTTTATTTCACCTTTATTTAACCAGGTAAGCCAGTTGAGAACAAGTTCTCATTTACAACTGCGACCTGGCCAAGATAAAGCAAAGCAGTGCGATAAAAACAACACAGAGTTACATATGGGGTAAAACAAAACAAAGTCAAAAATACAACAGAAATAAATATATATACAGTGTGTGCAAATGTAGCAACTTATGGAGGTAAGGCAATAAATAGGCTATAGTGCAAAATAATTACAATTAGTATTAACACTGGAATGATAGATGTGCAAGAGATGATGTGCAAATAGAGATACTGGGGTACAAATGAGCAAAATAAATAACAATATAGGGATGAGGTAGTTGGGCGGGCTAATTTCAGATGGGCTGTGTACAGGTGCAGTGATCGGTAAGGTGCTCTGACAACTGATGCTTAAAGTTAGTGAGGGAGATAAGTGTCTCCAGCTTCAGAGATTTTTGCAATTTGTTCCAGTCATTAGCAGCAGAGAACTGGAAGGAATGGCGGCCAAAGGAGGTGTTGGCTTTGGGGATGACCAGTGAGATATACCTGCTGGAGCGCATACTACGGGTGGGTGTTGCTATGGTGACCAATGAGCTAAGATAAGGCGGGGATTTGCCTAGCAGTGATTTATAGATGGCCTGGAGCCAGTGGGTTTGGCGACGAATATGTAGTGAGGACCAGCCAACAAGAGCGTACAGGTCACAGTGGTGGGTAGTATATGGGGCTTTGGAGACAAAACGGATGGCACTGTGATAGACTACATCCAATTTGCTGAGTAGAGTGTTGGAGGATATTTTGTAAATGACATCGCCGAAGTCAAGGATCGGTAGGATAGTCAGTTTTACGAGGGCATGTTTGGCAGCATGAGTGAAGGAGGCTTTGTTGCGAAATAGGAAACCGATTCTAGATTTAACTTTGGATTGGAGATTCTTAATGTGAGTCTGGAAGGAGAGTTTACAGTCTAACCAGACACCTAGGTATTTGTAGTTGTCCACATACTCTAGGTCAGACCCGTCGAGAGTAGTGATTCTAGTCGGGTGGGCGGGTGCAAGCAGCGTTCGGTTGAAGAGCATGCATTTAGTTTTACTAGTGTTTAAGAGCAGTTGGAGGCTACTGAAGGAGTGTTGTATGGCATTGAAGCTCGTTTGGAGGTTTGTTAACACAGTGTCCAATGAAGGGCCAGATGTATACAAATGGTGTCGTCTGCGTAGAGGTGGATCTGAGAGTCACCAGCAGCAAGAGCGACGTCATTGATATACACAGAGAAAAGAGTCAGCCCAAGAATTGAACCCTGTGGCACCCCCATAGAGACTGCCATAGGTCCAGACAACAGGCCCTCCGATTTGACTCTATCAGAGAAGTAGTTGGTGAACCAGGCGAGGCAGTCATTTGAGAAACCAAGGCTATTTAGTCTGCCAATAAGAATGCGGTGGTTGATAGAGTCGAAAACCTTGGCCAGGTCAATGAAAACGGCTGCACAGTACTGTCTATTATCGATTGCGGTTATAATATCGTTTAGGACCTTGAGCGTGGCTGAAGTGCACCCATGACCAGCTCGGAAACCGGATTGCATAGCGGAGAAGGTACGGTGGGATTCGAAATGGTCGGTGATCTGTTTGTTAACTTGGCTTTCAAAAACTTGAAGGGCAGGATGGATATGGGTCTGTAACAGTTTGGATCTAGAGTGTCACCCCCTTTGAAGAGTGGGATGACCGCGGCAGCTTTCCAATCTCTGGGGATCTCAGACGTTACGAAAGAGAGGTTGAACAGGCTAGTAATAGGGGTTGCGACAATTTCGGCGGCTAGTTTTAGAAAGAAAGGGTCCAGATTGTTTAGCCTAGATGATTTTTAGGGGTCCAGATTTTGCAGCTCTTTCAGAACATCAGCTGTCTGGATTTGTGTGAAGGAGAAGCGGGGGGGGCATGGGCAAGTTGCAGCGGAGGGTGCAGAGCTGGTGGCCGGGGTAGTGGTAGCCAGGTGGAAAGCATGGCCAGCCGTAGCAAAATGCTTGTTGAAATTCTCGATTATTGTAGATTTATCGGTGGTGATAGTGTTTCCTAGCCTCAGTGCAGTGGGCAGCTGGGAGGAAGTGCTCTTATTTTCCATGGACTTTACAGTGTCCCAAAACGTTTTGGAGTTAGCAGGATGCAAATTTCTGTTTGAAAAAGTTAGCCTTTGCTTTCCTAACTGCTTGTGTATATTGGTTCCTAACTTCCCTGAAAAGTTGCATATCGCGGGGGCTATTTGATGCTAATGCAGTACGCCACAGGATGTTTTTGTGCTGGTCAAGGGCAGTTAAGTCTGAGGAGAACCAGGGGCTATATCTGTTCTTAGTTCTGTATTTTTTGAATGGGGCATGTTTATTTAAGATTGAGAGGAAATTACTTTTAAAGAACAACCAGGCATCCTCTACTGACGGAATGAGATCTATATCCATCCAGGATACCTGGGCCAGGTCAATTAGGAAGGCCTGCTCGCTGAAGTGTTTTTGGGAGCGTTTGACAGTGATGAGGGGTGGTCGTTTGACCGCGGACCCGTTACGGACGCAGGCAATAAGGCAGTGATCGCTGAGATCCTGGTTGAAGACAGCGGAGGTGTATTTAGAGGGTAAGTTAGTCCGGATGATATCTATGAGGGTACCCATGTTTACGGATTTAGGGTTGTACCTGGTAGGTTCGTTGATAATTTGTGTGAGATTGAGGGCATCTAGTTTAGATTGTAGGATGGCCGGGGTGTTAAGCATATCCCAATTTAGGTCACCAAGCAGTACGAACTCTGAGGATAGATGGGGGGCAATCAATTCACATATGGTGTCCAGGGCACAGCTGGGGGCTGAGGGGGGTCTGTAGCAAGCGGCAACAGTGAGAGATTTATTTCTGGAAAGGTGGATTTTTAGAAGTAGAAGCTCAAACTGTTTGGGCACAGACCTGGATAGTATGATAGAGCTCTGCAGGCTATCTCTACAGTAGATTGCAACTCCACCCCCTTTGGCAGTTCTATCTAGACGGAAAATGTTATAGTTGGGGATGGAAATTTCAGAATTTTTGGTGGCCTTCCTAAGCCAGGATTCAGACACTGCTAGAACATCAGGGTTGGCGGAGTGTGCTAACGCAGTGAATAACTCAAATTAGGAAGAAGGCTTCTGATATTTACGTGCAGAAAACCAAGGCTTTTACGGTTACAGAAGTCAACAAATGATAGCTCCTGGGGAGTAGGAGTGATACTGGGGGCTGCAGGGCCTGGGTTAGCCTCTACATCACCAGAGGAACAGAGGAGGACTAGAATAAGGATATGACTAAAGGCTTTAAGAACTGGTCTTCTAGTGCGTTGGGTACATAGAATAAAGGGGGCAGTTCTCTGGGCGTTGTAGAAAAGATTCAGGGCATTATGTACAGAAAAGGATATGGAAGGATATGAGTACAGTTGAGGTAAACCTAAGCGTTGGGTAACAATGAAAGAGATAGCATCACTGGAGGCACCGATTGAGCCGGTCTTGGCGTGTATGGGGGGTGGAACAAAGGAACTATTTGAGGCAGTTTGAGAGGGACTAGGGGTTCTACAGTGAAATTGTATAATAAGAACTAACCCAAACAGCAATAGGCAAGGTATATTTGACAAGGGAGAGAGGCATAAAGCAATCACAGGTGTTATTAGAGAGAGCTAAGACAACAACTGGTAATAGCGATAAAGTTTGGGCTGAGGCTAAACAGAATAAACAGGACAGGGTACCGTGTAAAGGAACAGTCCAGCAGGCATCAGCTGTGCAGCTGAGTGATCATAAGGTCCAGTGAACAGCAATATGTGAGTCCGAGAGCAGTTCAAATTGGTGCTTCAGCACAGCTAGCAGGGAGCACAGTTGTAGTTTGCGTGTGCTAGCGGGCCGGGGCTAGCAGATGGATCTTCGTGGTCGTCGCAACGGGAAGCCTGTTGAAACCACATCAGACGATTTCGTCGGCAAACCAGTCGTGTTGGATCGGCGGGGCTCAGTGTCAACACTAGGAGGTCCCGTCCGGTTGACAGAGAGGTAGATAGCCGGGAGATGGGCCTGAGGCTAGCTCAAGGCTAACTGGTGCTTGCTATAGGGCAATGGTAATTAGCCAACAACAGGTTGCAGCTAGCTAGCTGGTTACGATGATCCGGCGCTAGGGTCCAGTGATTCCGGCAGAAAGTCCGATATGCTCTGGGTCGATAGCACGCTGTGCAGACTGGCCGACGAATTGTCCAGGCTAGAGCTAGAGCTGGCTGGTGGATAGTGTAGGCCACGGACAATGGTGAAGACGCTAACGGTGACTAATAGCAAGTAGCCATTCAGTTGCAGCTACACTAGTTTCAGCTCTATACCAGGCGGTGTCAGAGGAAGGCCCTAAAAATTGGCAAAGACTCCAGCCACCCAAGTCATAGACTGGTCTCTCCGCTACCACACGACAAGCGGTACCGGAGCACCAAGTCTGGGACCAAAAGGCTCCTGAACAGCTCCTATCCCCAAGCCATAAGACTGCTGAACAGTTAATCAAATGGCAACCTGGACTATCTGCATTGACCCCCTTATTTTTTACTCTCTTGCACTGACTCTATGCACACTCACTGGATTCTACCCACAGACTCACACATACTACACTGACACTCCAACACACACGCTCACACACACACAAACACAAAACACACATGCATATTGACGCAACACACACACACACGCATATTGACGCAACACACACACACACATCCCCTATCACATGTAGACACACTTTCACACACGCTGCTGTTTACTATGTATTCTGATTGCCTAGTCACTTTTACCCCTACCTACATGTACATATTACCTCAACTACCTCGTACCCATGCACATTGACTCGGTACTAGTACTCCTAGCCTCGTTATAGGGATGTAGCTCAGTTGGTAGAGCATGGCGTTTGCAACGCCAGGGTTGTGGGTTCGATTCCCACGGGGGGCCAGTATGAAAAATAAAAAATAAAAAAATATGTATGCACTCACTAACTGTAAGTCGCTCGGGCGGCAGGTAGCTTAGTGGGTAAGAGCGTTGTGCCAGTAACCGAAAGGTCGCTGGTTCTAATCCCCGAGCCGACTAGGTGAAAAATCTGTCGATGTGCCCTTAAGCAAGGCACTTAACCCTAATTGCTCCTGTAAGTCGCTCTGGATAAGAGCGTCTGCTAAATGACTAAAATGTAATGTAAATGGATAAGAGCGTCTGCTAAATGACTAAAATGTAAAATGTTATTGTTATTTTATTGTGTTACCATTTCATTTTTTTATTTTGCAAATGTGTCTTACTTTTTAACTCTGCATTGTTGGGAAATGGCTCCTAAGTAAGCATTTAATGGTAAAGTCTACACCTGTTGTATTCAGCACGTGACAAATCAAATATGATTTGATTTTGATCATTTTGAACTGAGCACCTCCCCCAACAACATCCCAGTCATGTGGATTACCGACAACACTGTCAGAGAAAACTGACAAACGCTTCACGAGGGGTAAAGATAGTTGTCTACGGCCTAATCGAATAACCTACAGTATCTAAATCGCTGTGGTCTGACACAACCATTATACAGTAATTGGCGGTTGAGCAGAAGAGGAGATCGCAAAGGGGCGCTGGTTGAGTTTCGGTTGAGAGAGGGGATCTACGCCGTGTTGACCTGGCCACAAGGTGACCATTAAAAGAAGAAGCAGCTATCTGTTCCTCAAGTGCGCATTTGTCAGGCAGACAGCGGCCTGAGGTTGAAGTGAGGCAAGTGACCTTCGAGAAAGACAGGCGGTGTGACTCACCTGGCTATAAAAAGAGAATGGTTGCCCAGCCCACGTGAACAAGAAAAAGATTAGCAAGAGAGAAAGAAAAGGAGAGAGAGAAAGAGGCGCTCCAGCCTCATCAATAAGGAGATCTTTCTCCAGATAAGAGCCGCTCGGCTCAGCCTGGCATCCATGTCCGTTTGGGGCTTCCTTTCATCCCAAACCGCCATTGCTAGTGGCCATTTCATACGCAGCGCCAGTCACGTTTTGGAGATAGACAAAGGTGAAAATGCAGTGATGGGGGGGGGGGAATAGCCTAACGTGGCCATTTCAGGTGATACCTACCCAATACCCAGGTAAAGCTCTGTGCTAAGGAGTCCTTCTAATGCACAAGTATATTATAGGTTCATGAGGTCCCTTAGATGTGCTGCCTCACATATATTTGTCCAAATCCATTTATTCGTCCAGAATCTCAGTGAAGGATGGGGATGGTGACGATGACTATGTGACACTGAGTGCCGGTGACACTTCAGCGCCCCGGGACTCCCGGGCGCTAGTGTATTGTGAAAGAGTGGCAGAGTGCAACCTTTAAAGGCCAACTATTGGTGCAGAACAGCTCCAATCCTAATGACTCAGGCTATGTGCTGATTCCCTCCCCCCTTGTCCACACTCTCATGCCTAGTTAAACCATCATTGGCTGTGCTTCTAACACGTTATCATTTCAATCAACAGATTAATAATGATATGCTACTTCTTACATCCATGCATTTCCCTGCATGATCTGAATCCAACGATCACAGTCTATTTAGGCTGTAGGCTCACAGAAGCCTATACATGACTTACTCCTAAATGATATGTTCGAAGTGGAAATGGAAGATCATCTGCTGCCACCTACTGGTCAACATGATTTTTACATCACATTACAGTAATCATCTTCAATCTTGAGGCGTGTGTGTGGAGCAAAAAGGAACCTTTCGGAAATAGTCTAAAACGTGAGTGTCTGCCTGTGTGCCCGTCTGCTTGTGTGTGTCTGCCTATGCATGCGTGCTTGTTTGAGTACAGATGTGGGTGTATGTACCTCTCGTAGATGGTCTTCAGGGTGATCTGGTCTGAGATGCCGTCGGTCTCCTCCAGGAAGAGGATGAGCCAGGAGGTCCTGTAGGGCCACTCCTCCGTCAGGTTGATCCACGATGCCAGACGGTCCCAGTTAAAGATGATCTGATTGGCCCTCAGCAGACGTCCTGGAAATATGGACCAATGAGAAGTGACGTTGGTATGTTGGTTGAAGCGCCTACTACTCCCCTTCCGATAATAAGTGCCATGCTGGGAGCAGTCAACTCTCCCCTTGGGTGGTATAAAGGTCATATAGGTCATCTAATAGGTGATGTGTTACCTGTGACAGAGACGATGTTGAGCAGCCTCCTCATGGTCTGGGGGCTGATATCACTGAACCAGTCCTCAGTGACCAACAGCTTGGTCAGGTCAAAGGACATCTGTCTGGTAACAGTCCTCTGAATCTGCCTCCTGCGGTACGTGTCCTACACACACACACACACACACACACACACACACACACACACACACACACACACACACACACACACGCACACACGCACACACGCACACACGCACACACGCACACACGCACACACGCAGACCTCATGTTACCTCATCTTTATACTTGGATGTGCCCTTGGTCTTTTCACAAACCAGTCACTCAGCCAGTCACTCGTTTTGCCCATTCTAACGTTCAATCGAACAGTAACTGAATGTCTCAACACCTGTCTGCCTGCTTTATATAGCAAGCAACGGCCACATGACTCACTGTCTGTAGGAGCGAACAATTTTTGTGTACCTAATAAACTTTCCACAGAGTGTATATTATGTGTTTGCTTTTCATATCAACATTTTAGTAATATTTCTTTACAGCAAGAACTGGCCTCGTTTGACCTGTCCTGTGTTCTACATTTCACATGACCCCGTGACAGTTTTGTGGCAGTCTCATGATGACATCACCCCGTGGCGTGCTGTGCACCTTGTGACAAGCGGCTCCTTGTGTGTGTGACCTCTAGTCCTGGCATCCTGTCCCTTCCTCCTTCCATCCTTGTTTTCCAACACCCATCCCCTACCCACAAGCAGCTCTGTTACTGGGCCCAATTAACAGACTGGAGATCTCAGTTGAGCAGAAATACACTGTGTTTCCAAGACAGAGGCATCTCTGTCCACAGTCACTGTCCTTACACAGTTAGGCCAAAGTATGTTTGATATTTGGATTCCCACTAGCTGATACAATAGCAACAGCTACGCTTCCTGGGGTCCATACAGGGTTGTGTGTGTGTTTCAAGCAAAGACTAAACTATGTATTGAGACTACATATCACCTCTTTTCTGGATTGTCTGAGTCCAAAATGAGTGGAATGCGGTCTGCAGGACCACAATAGGTGCTGCTTGCTGAACAGTGCAGCAGTGGTTACAATATGAGAAAGTTCCTCTGGTCACAAGTACTCAGAACACCACCACTAGGCACTAAGCGGACTTTGATGTCGACTTAATGCCTGCCTTGTGACGACCTCACTAGTAGAGAGAGAGAGTATGGCCAGTAATAAGTCAGTAGTGGTTTAGTAAGGAGGAAGGTGATTGGCTCTCCTTTGATCCTTTGATCCTTACTTAGATGCACTGGACATGCTCAAAAAGTGAAATGGTGAAAGTTGATAGTTATTTTTTTGATTGGTTTTTCTGTATAACCAGACCATCAGGAGAAATTGTTGAACTTTGAATATTGAAAAACTGCTGTAAGTTGGAATCTTTCCTCCAAACGAGCAAACGTACTTTGAGTTCACATCAGGCCAGAGCCCACCGCCCATACTGTTTACAAGCCTGAGCTCGCCTGGCCTGCCTCCCTCAATTCCCCTCCCCTGCCATCTTGTAAAGATAGACTCGGCTAAAGATCCACAACTCTGCAATTAAGCAGCCGAGAGACAGAGAGCTTTTTCTCTCCCTCCATCATTCCATCCTTTTTAGCTCCGCTTGTAAAGAGAGCCACTCACTGCCTTCTTGGCAGCCAAGAAACTGCCGGAGAGGGCAAACAAAAAGAAGTGTGCGCCGAAATAAAAAAGGGACCCAAGGAAAATAAAGACAAAAAAACAGGCAAATAAATCAGACGCCCAAACAAACAAACAGATAAACAAACAAAACGGGGTCCTCGCAGGGGGAAGCAGGCAGGGCCACTTAGCCTCCCGCCGGCAGCCACCGATGCCAGCGTTTTGTCACCGGGACCCACTGCTGCTCCTCCCTGTCATTAGGCAGTGTGGCATCGCAGCAGGAAGGATAAACAGACATTACATCAATTACCAGACAGACTCCTCTGCGATGGAGACACAGACACTGGCTCTTTTGCTCCCGACCTCCTCCACCCCTCTCTGCTATGTTCACCGCAAGGCTGGAGGAAGCTAGCTACACCCCCGTGCATGTGGGTTTAAGTGCATTATCTCACACTTTCTATGTTAGTCTTCTCTAGCTGTGTCTATGGGAAAAGAAGCATAAGCACCACTTCAGATGCAACATTTTGATGTGTTTTACTGAGCTTTCATTGCCCGCACAGACGCCCAATCTCCTTATGTTCCTTGTTGTATCACTTGTCTTTGTGCCAGAACTCTGTCGGTCTACAGGACCTCTGCAGGTAGATCTATGGCTCAGCCTGGGCATAGATAGCGATGGGGGGGGGAGAGGGTCGGCTGGCTGAAAGAGCTTACCCTGCGGTTGAGGGCCGTCTTGCTGCCAAACTTGGTCTGATCCCCCAGACTGTTTGAGGACAGCTTCCTGTCCATCTCCTCATGCCATCCTGTGAAGAGGAGTGGAAAAGGAGAGAGAGAAAGAGACAGTACCATCAGGGATGTCTCATCACAACACCTAATATAAAGAACCAACCTATTCACGTTAAAATGATTATTATTTCCTACTGCAAGTCAGAATGAGTGTGTGTGTGTGTGCGTGTGAGCTTGTGTCTACTCTATGCCTATGTCAGTGTTTCCTAATCCTGGTACACGGGACCCAACGTGATGTCAGTGTCACTGGCCTACACTGGCCTATGTGGGTGTGCGTTTGCATGTTTGTGTGTGTGCGTTCCTGCAGGCCTGACACATGCCATGCATACATCCATATGTCTTGCGTACCCTCAGGGTTGGCCAGGTCTCCGTTGTGGGTGCACAGCTTCCTGGTTGTGCTTAGCCCACGGCTGTTGAGGAAAACAGGCAGGTGGACGATGTTCCTCATGTAGTCGTGGCCGTTGATGTTCGAGTCCCTGAGCACGCTGTTCAGGTTCTGGTTGATGGCCTTGATGATGATGTGGGGGTCGCTGGCAAAGATGGAGATGAAGGGGCCTTTGGAGAACAGCACCCTCACCTGGTGGAGGAGGGGAATAGGAGGAGGATTTAGACCTGGGTTCATTCACTACTGCTCATCTGTCGTGAACTTATTGGAATGATAAAAGCCTGAAATCATTTGAGGGTGAACCTTGTGTGTCAGGTTCATAGTGTAGTCATACACACAACTGGTGAACAAAAAACTTGACATCAACTTGTTAATATCTGCAAACTGTGGCTATAATTTGTAGTATCTTGTTAGGTTGAGTTTGTGGGTCACATTTCTGTTGATCACATTCCATTTCTAAAGGGGGCATGCAACAGCAATTCCAATGGTGGGCCTCCGTACTAGTTGTCTTGCTAAATCAGTGGTATTCAACCGGGGGTCTGCGGCCCTCTGACATAGGCCTTGAAAAAGCACCCGCATTCGGAAAGTATTCAGACATCACATTTTGTTACATTAAAGCTTTATTCTAAAATGGATTAAATTGTTTTTTTCCCCCCCTCATCAATCTACACACAACACCCCATAATGACACAGCAAAAGCAGGTTTCTATAAATATTTGCAAATGTAAAAAAATAATCTGAAATATCACATTTACATAAGTATTCAGACCCTTTACTCAGTACTTTGTTGAAGCACCTTTGGCAGCGATTACAATCTTGAGACTTATTGGGTATGACGCTACAAGCTTGGCACACCTGTATTTGGGGAGTTTTTCCCATTCTTCTCTGCAGATCCTCTCAAGCTCTGTCAGGTTGGATGGGGAGCGTCGCTGCACAGCTATTTTCAGGTCTTTCCAGTGATGTTTGATCAGGTTCAAGTCCGGGCTCTAGCTGGGCCACTCAAGGACATTCAGAGACGTGTCCCGAAAGCCACTCCTGCATTGTCTTGGCTGTGTGCTTAGGGTCGTTGTCCTGTTGGAAGGTGAACCTTTGCCCCATTCTGTGGTCCTGAGGGCTCTGGAGTAGGTTTTCATCAAGGATCGCTCTGTACTTTGCTCCGTTCATCTTTTCCTCGATCCTGACTAATCTCCAAGTCCCTGCCCGCTGATAAATGTCCCCACAGCATGATGCTGCCACAACCATACTTCACCGTAGGGATGGTGCCAGGTTTCCTCCAGAAGTGACGCTTGGCATTCAGGCCAGAGAATCTTGTTTCTCATGGTCTGACCTTTAGGTGCCTTTTGGCAAACTCCAAGCGGGCTGTCATGTGCCTTTTCCTGAGGAGTGGCTACCGTCTGGCCACTCTACCATAAAGGCCTGATTGGTGGAGTGCTGCAGAGATGGTTGTCCTTCTGGTAGGTTCTCCCATCGCCACAGAGGAACTCTGGAGTACTGTCAGAGTGACCATCGGGTTCTTGGTCACCTCCCTGGCCAAGGCCCTTCTCCCCCGATTGCTCATTTTGGCCGGGCGGCCAGTTCTAGGAAGAGTCTTGGTGGTTCCAAACGTCTTCCATTTAAGAATGATGGAGGCCACTGTGTTCTTGGGGTCCTTCAATGCTCTACAGACAATTCCTTCAACCTCATGGCTTGGTTTTTGCTCTGACATGCACTGTCATCTGTGGGACCTTATATAAACAGTGGGTGCCTTTCCAAATCATGTCCAATAAATTGAATTTACCACAGGTGGACTCCAATCAAGTTGTAGAAACACCTCAAGGATGGTCAATGGAAAGAGGATGCACCTGCGCTCAATTTCGAGTCTCATAGCAAAGGGTCTGAATACTTATGAAAATAAGGTATTTATGTTTTAAATTTTTTATAAATTTGCAAAAATGTCTAAAAACCGTTTTCGCTTTGTCATTATGGGGTATTGTGTGCAGATTGATGAGGGAAAAAATTTATTTAATCTATTTTAGAATAAGGCTGTAATGTAACAAAAACGTGGAAAATGCACTGTAGCTTGTAATAGTGTGTATTAAAAGCTACAGTGCCACAGGCTGCTGGTAAGCTTTCTTGACTTGGAAATTACATTTTGGCCAACACATGGCTAACCACTGTCATGACGGTCCACGAGAATCCAAATAGGTCTGATCAGGTTTGCAATGAATAACTTCAATCAGACCACCTCTCACCCACAGAGGGGGGAGGGAAGGACTTTTTCCCGCTGAAACTTTAACACGTTCAAAAGCGAATACCGGAACAATATTTCTAACGTAGAACGTGGGGAATGGTAGGAGGCGATCTATAGGTGTCATGAGTGTCAGTGTAATGCGGTGGATCGAAGTCAGGCGCAGGACACAGAATTCTCAGAAACGTACTTTACTGAATACAACACAGAATATCTCCACACAGGGAGGAACTAACCCGCTCACCGAAGACACACAAAACGAAAAACAACCACGCACAAAACACATTGGGAGCCACTGGGTTAAATAGGGAAGGCGTGATTACAATAATGGGCAACAGGTGTGTGACAATAGACAACAGGTGCAACATAGAAAATAGATCGGCAGCAGCTAGTATTTCGGTGACGACGAAGCCTGCACGAGCAAGGAGGAGGGGCAGCCTCGGCAGAATCCGTGACAATAGCACACTAAGGTAATTTTGTTAGTTATTTTGTGATGTCATTAAAAATGTTATAAAGGAAATACTGTAACTTGGAAAGTATACCCACTACATATTTGACGTTGCCATACTATGCGTTGTGCATGTAATATGAAAAATGATGAAAGTGTTTTTGTTAAGAAAAGGATGTGACTTGAGAAGTTATAAGAAATAATTGTTTTACATAACATTGAGCAATGATTAATCGCCGCCCCAAAGTGAGGTCAGAAAGCGTGCCAGCCTGCCGGAACCGCCCTTTTCGAGCAGAGTGTATAAATGGTGGAAAAGGAAATTAACATACCAGACCAGAAAATCGTGAAGCGGCAGCTACACGTTTAAAATGATTGGAACTTTGAATCTCATCACGAGGTGAAGAAAATAAACTCACCTCCCGGACAATCACTGGTACGGCTGATTAGCGGTCCTAAGTAAGGTATCTTCGAAAGTGAATTTAAGTAGGACCATCTGCTACTCTGCTCAAACCACTGTATTACACTACTCTCATCACCCCACTGGGGAACCATCGATACGGCTGGCTAGCCCATCTTCAAAGAAGCAACTTCCAGAGCGACGGGAAGGAAGTAGTTCTGTTCAGGACTACATGACAAGTCATTGGAGACCGGACAACTACGAAGAAGGACATTGTGAACCATTTTGGACAATAAGAGCCTTACAAGCGTGCCGCAAAAAGGCCCAACCCCTTTCCAAGGCGGACCGGTTCACCGAGAGATCCCCGGTGAACTAAGACATTTCATTTAAATACATTCATGATTTCTTACTCAAAGCGGGTGGCGGTTCGTGTGCCAAGTATGTGGTTACTGTAGGTGAGAGTCGTTTCTGAATGTATCAAGGTTAAGTCTCTGTCCCTCTCCAGTCAATAACCGGTGCAGAGTGTGTATGTTTATCCTGTGTTCCCATTTAATTAGCTAGTAAATAAAGAATTAAACCAATTTGTGTAGCACTGAATCATAAGTAAGGCTCTGGACTTTGCCGATGCAAGGAGGTTACGACTGTTCAGAATGATATGATACGAGGTTATGATTAATAAGTTGACTGTTTATAGATGTGATAGGTAAAGAGTTTAATTCGGGAGATGGTATCTCTTTAAGGAACCGCTCTCATGGTGCCCCAGATACTAATGAGTTAATTGTTACATGATTAATTTAAATTGGGTAACAATTAAACATAGTTAGTTAGAGATTAATGTTAAAGTCACGTCACGACACCACTGTTTAACCAGCTAAGCAGCTGCTCTTAGTGAAAATGTGTTTGGAGTTACCTTTCTAGCTAATTGGCTATGTTACAGTTTACACTTCCTTTTCCAATTATAATGTGGGGAGGTCAAAATAATGAAAAACTATCTACCAAATCTATTCATTTTAACCCAATGAGTCCCACTGTAATGCCGGTGTGTTTTGGACTTCAAACCGCTTTTAAACATTGTGTGTTTGAGCTACAGACGTCTAGGTTGTACCAGTGGATTTGTCTATTTCTCCAATAGTCTGTGTGATTAACGGGGGCTGAACTAGAGCAGTGTTTGTGAGACAAGGGTAGATCCAGAAGGGGCCCGGGCCGGATCTTTTTACCAAAACGTCTGTAGAACAAATGGTTTAAGCTACAAACTATTAAGCTACAGCTCTCACGAACACGCACATGTTGTGCTCTGACGCTCACCAGCTACACAATTGTAAGTCGCTCTGGATAAGAGCGTCTGCTAAATGACGTAAATGTAAATGTAAAAAAGAGTCGTTAGAAGGTAAGGGGTTCTTCTAGATAGGGGATCATAGGAAATCCCAGGACATAGTGTCTATAATACTGTAATAAGCTCACACAAAATCAAAACTCCAAAACAGATGTCACTGACTAGTTGGATATTCATTTCCCATTGAGCAAACAATTTCTGTACTTACAGCATTCATATAAATTCATTTTTATCAAGTTTTCTGCTTTGGCTGACTTTTTAATATTGACATTTGTCCATAAAACTCATGAATGCAACTGTTTGTCAAATTGTTTTGTGTTCTACTTGCATCCCTAGCTGTCGTGAAAAGAAAATGTTCTAACATTTCATTGTGAGGCTAAATACACTACATGGCCAAATGTATGTGGACACCTGCTCGTCGAACATCTTATTCCAAAATCATGGACATTAATATGGAGTTGGTCCCCCCTTTGCTGCCTCCACTCTTCTGGGAAAGCTTTCCACTAGATGTTGTTACATTGCTGCGGGGACTTGCTTCCATTCAGCCACAAGAGCATTAGCGAGGTCTGGCACTGATGTTGGGCAATTAGGTCTGGCTCGCAGTCAGCGTTCCAATTCATCCCAAAGGTGTTTAATGGGGTTGAGGGCAGGGCTCTGTGCAGGCCAGTCAAGTTCTTCCACACCGATCTCGAAAAAACTATTTCTGTATGGACCTCGCTTTGTGCACGGGGGCATTGTCAAGCTATAACAGGAAAGGGCCTTCCCCAAACTGTTGCCACAAAGTTGGAAGCACAGAATCGTCTAGAATGTAATTCTATGCTGTAGCGTTAAGATTTCCCTTTACTGGAGCTAAGGGGCCTAGCCCGAACCCTGAAAAACAGCCACAGACCATTATTCCTCCTCCATGAAACTTTACAGTTGGCACTATGCATTCGGGTAGGTAGCATTCTCCTGGCACCCGCCAAACACAGATTCGTCCGTTGGACTGCCAGATGATGAAGCATGATTCATCACTCCAGAGAATGCATTTCCACTGCTCCAGAGTCCAATGGCGGCGAGCTTTACACCACTCCAGCCGATGCTTGGCATTGAGCATGGTGATCTTGTGTGCGGCTGCTCGGCCATGTAAACCCACTTCATAAATCTCCCGACGAACAGTAATTGTGCTGACGTTGCTTCCAGAGGCAGTTTAGAACTCGGTAGTGAGTGTTGCAACCGAGGACAGATGATTTTTACGAGCTAGGCGCTTCAACACTCGGCGGTCCCATTCTGTGAGCTTGTGTAGCCTACCACTTCCCGGCTGAGCCATTGTTGCCCCTAGACTTCGCAATAACAGCACTTACAGTTGACCGGGGCAGCTATAGCAGGGCAGAAATTTGATGAACTGACTTGTTGGAAAGGTTGCATCCTATGACGATGCCACGTTGAAAGTCACTGAGCTCTTCAGTAAGGCCGTTCTACTGCCAATGTTTGTCTATGGAGATTGCATGGCTGTGTGCTTGATTTTATGCACCTGTCAGCAACAGGTGTGGCTGAAAAAGCCAAATCCATAATTTGAAGGTGTGTCCACATACTTTTTTATATATAGTGTTTTCTTTTTATTTATTTTTCATCTATACTTGGAGTCAAAATATAGATATAATATTATCAAAAATAATATCATGATATGTAACTGTATCGATTTCCCTCCCCATCAATAGTAATGACCAATGAGTCATGGATAATGATTTAACACTAAATGGTTATGGGTAATGTGTGTTTTGTGTATAGTATTGTATAGCCTACATTTTTGTGTTTAGCCATTGTTACAAACGTCTTATTCAGTCATTGTTACAAAACACAGCACAGGCACACACACACACACACACACACCGTGTCGAGCATCTGCAGCACTCTGTCCTGTTCGCAGGCATCCAGGCCGTCAATGATGACCGCCATGCGGGTCTGGTTCTGGGTGAAGCCATCGATGGTCTTGGCCATCTTGGACATCAGCTCCACCTCATGCTTCAACACCTGGAGCAACCAAACACACACCATCAACCACTGCATACTGTATAACTACAGACATTGTGACTCTTCTTATTAATTCATCTCTGTTTATATCATGTTGATAGTTAGGCATTTAGCTCCTGAGTGCCTAACACTATCATGTAACAACATCATTTATTTATACTTAACCATGTTAAACTGTAGCATACCATTTACAACTAGCGACATTCTAAGCCAAATTCTAACTCGATCAACTAATTTGATATACAGTGCATTCGGAAAGTATTCAGACCCCTTGACGTTTTCCACATTTTGTTACATTACAGCCTTATTCTAACATGGATTGTTTTTCCCCCTCTTCAAATCTATACACAATACCCCATAATGACAAATCAAAAACAGGTTTTTATAATATTCGCAAATTATTGAAAAGAAAAAACGGAAATATTTACATTTACATAAGTATTCAGACCCTTTACTCAGTACTTTGTTGAAACACCTTTGGCAGCGATTACAGCCTCGAGTCTTCTTGGGTATGACGCTACAAGCTTTGCACACCTGTATTTGGGGAGTCTCACCCATTCTTCTCTGCAGATTCTCTCAGGCTCTGTCAGGTTGGATGGGGAGCATTGCTGCACAGCTATTTTCAGGTATGTCCAGAGATGTTCGATCTGGTTCAAGTCCGGGCTCTGGCTGGGCCACTCAAGGACATTCAGAGACATGTCCCGAAGCCACTCCTGCGTTGTCTTGGTTGCGTGCTTAGGGTCATTGTCCTTTTGGAAGGTGAACCTTCGTCCCAGTCTGAGGCCCTGAGCGCTCTGGAGCAGGTTTTCATCAAGGATCTCTCCGTACTTTGCTCCGTTCATTTTTCCCCTCGATCCTGACTAGTCTCCCAGTCCCTGCCGCTGAAAAACATCCCCACAGCATGATGCTGCCACCACCATTCTTCACTATTAGGATGGTAACAGGTTTCCTCCAGATGTGACGCTTGGCATTCAGGCCAAAGAGTTCAATCTTGGTTTTATCAGACCAGAGAATCTTGTATCTCAGTTTGACGGGCGGCCAGCTCTAGAAATAGTCTTGGTGGTTCCAAACTTCTTCCATTTAAGAATGATGGAGGCCACTGTGTTCTTGGGGACCTTCAATGCTGCAGAAATTTTTTCGTACCCTTCCCCAGATCTATGCCTCGACACAATCCTGCCTCTGAGCTCTACGGACAATTCCTTCAACCTCATGTCTTGTTTTCACTCTGACATGCACTGTCAAATGTGGGATATTATATAGACAGGTGTGTACCTTTCCAAATCATGTCCAATCAAAACAATTAATTTAATCTATTTTAGAATAAGGCTGTAACGTAACAAAAATGTGGAAAAGGTCAAGTGGTCTGAATACTTTCAGAATGCACTGTACATGTAACTTCCATTTTCAAGTCTGTATTGCCATTCCTGCATAATTTACATACAGTTGAAGTCGGAAGTTTACATACACCTTAGTCAAATACATTTAAACTCAGTTCTTCACAATACCTGACATTTAATCCTAGTAAAAATTCCCTGTTTTAGGTCAGTTAGGATCACCACTTTATTTTAAGAATGTGAAATGTCAGAATAATAGTAGCGAGAATGATTTATTTCAGCTTTTATTTCTTTCATCACATTCCCAGTGGGTCAGAAGTTTACATACACTCAATTAGTATTAGGTAGCATTGCCTTTAAATTGTTTAACTTGGGTCAAACGTTTCGGGTAGCCTTCCACAAGCTTCCCACAATAAGTTGGGTGAATTTTGGCCAAATTCCTCCTGACAGAGCTGGTGTAACTGAGTCAGGTTTGTAGGCCTCCTTGCTCGAACACGCTTTTTCAGTTCTACCCACACATTTTCTATAGGATTGAGGTCAGGGCTTTGTGATGGCCACTCCAATACCTTGACTTTGTTGTCCTTAAGCCAAATTGCCACAACTTTGGAAGTATGCTTGGGGTCATTGTCCATTTGGAAGACCCATTTGCGACCAAGCTTTAACTTCCTGACTGATGTCTTGAGATGTTGCTTCAATATATCCACATAATTTTCCTTCCTCATGAGGCCATCTATTTTGTGAAGTGCACCAGTCCCTCCTGCAGTAAAGCACCCCCACAGCATGATGCTGCCACCCCCGTGCTTCACGGTTGGGATGATGTTCTTCGTTTTGCAAGTTACCCTCTTTTTCCTCCAAACATAACGATGGCCATTATGGCCAAACAGTTCTATTTTTGTTTCATCAGACCAGAGGACATTTCTCCAAAAAGTACGATCTTTGTCCCCATGTGCAGTTGCAAACCGTAGTCTGGCTTTTTTTATGGCGGTTTTGGAGCAGTGGCTTCTTCCTTGCTGAGCGGCCTTTCAGGTTTTGTCGATATAGGACTCGTTTTACTGTGGATATAGATACTTTTGTACCTGTTTCCTCCAGCATCTTCACAAGGTCCTTTGCTGTTGTTCTGGGATTGATTTGCACTTTTCACACCAAAGTACGTTAATTTCTAGTAGACAGAACGCGTCTCCTTGCTGAGCGGTATGACGGCTGCGTGGTCCCATGGTGTTTATACTTGCGTACTATTGTTTGTACAGATGAACATGGTACCTTCAGGCGTTTGGAAATTGCTCCCAAGGATGAACCAGACTTGTGGAGGTCTACCATTTTTTTCTGAGGTCTTGGCTGATTTCTTTTGATTTTCCCATGATGTCAAGCAAAGAGGCACTGAGTTTGAAGGTAGGCCTTGAAATACATCCACAGGTACAGCTCCAATTGACTCAAATGATGTCAATTAGCCTATCAGAAGCTTCTAAAGCCATGACATCATTTTCTGGAATTTTCCATGCTGTTTAAAGCCACAGTCAACTTAGTGTATGCAAACTTCTGACCCACTGAAATTGTGATACAGTGAATTATAAGTGAAATAATCTGTCTGTAAACAATTGTGGGAAAAATGACTTGTGTCATGCACAAAGTAGATGTCCTAACATACTTGCTAAAACTATAGTTTGTTAACAAGACATTTGTGGAGTGTTTGAAAACGAGTTTTAATGACTCCAACCTAAGTATATGTAAACTTCCGACTTCAACTGTATCTATTCTCAAGTTAGGGATTCGGCACTATTTGAATACAACTGGAGAGGAACCTATCAAACAGAGTATTCCCTATAAGCAAAATACATTTTAAGGATGTTGAAAAGACGTTGAAAATGTGCTAAAAAGATATTGGAAATACGTATTTTTGATTGAAAACATTGAAAAAGATTTCGGTCACTGGGTTTACACTACCTTCATGAAGCCCTCGCTCTTGAGCTTGTGCATCTTGTTGGCGGCACTGTGCAGTCTCTTCCTCTGGGAGTTGAGGACGGAGTCGGCCACCTGCCACCAGGTCCTACAGTTCAACAGGAGGGCCAGGCCCACCACGCTGGCCATGGCGATCAGCACAGCGTTCACCGTGAGGTTCTCACGCTGCACCTACATAAATGAAAAAAGGTCCGTAGCTTAAATATTTGTTTCATGTACAGCAGATGCTCAACACGGTGTGTGTGTGTCAGTGTGTGTAGGTACCTTAAAGATGGCCAGCAGCGCCATGGCCGTGATCAGGCAGCCCAGAGTCACGACGAACAGCATGAAGCTGGGCACGCAGCACGTCTTCTTCCACTTCTTACCTGGAGGGGGAGGGGAGAGGGGGCAAAGGCTAGAGTTATTGCCTGTAACTACAGCAAATGGTATGTTTCAAGCAACACTTTACATTAGCTACATAGGTTGTTACAGCGTACCAACAGGGGGACTATATAGTCCAAGCTACGCAAGCGATAATGCACGACAGAGTGTGCATTATAGGGAAATAACTACACCCAACTCATCCCAAACCATCTCAATTGGGTTGAGGTCGGGTGATTGTGGAGGCCAGGTCATCTGATGCAGCACTCAATCACACTCCTTCTTGGTCAAATAGCCCTTACACAGCCTGGAGGTGTGTTTTGGGTCATTGTCCTGTTCAAAAACAAATTATAGTCCCACTAAGCGCAAACTAGATCGGATGGCGCATCGCTGCAGAATGCTGTGGTAGCCATGCTGGTTCAGTGTGCCTTGAATTCTAAATAAATCACAGACAGTGTCACCAGCAAAGCAACGCCACACCATCACACCTCCTCCATGCTTCACGGTGGGAACCATACATGTGGAGATCATCCGTTCACCTACTCTGCGTCTCACAAAGACACAGCGGTTGGAACCAAAAATCATCAGACCAAAAGGACAGATTTCCACCGGTCTAATGTCCATTGCTCGTGTTTCTTGGCCCAAGCAAGTCTCTTCTTATTATTGGTGTCCTTTAGTAATGGTTTATTTGCAGCAATTCAACCATGAAGGCCTGATTCACGCAGTCTCCTCTGAACAGTTGATGTTGAGGTGTTTGTTACATTTACGTCATTTAGCAGACGCTCTTATCCAGAGCGACTTACAAATTGTTACTTGAACTCTGTGAAGCATTTATTTGGGATGCAATCTGAGGTGCAGTTAACTCTAATGAACATATCCTCTGCAGCAGAGGTAACTCTGGGTCTTCCTTTCCTGTGGTGGTCCTCATGAGAGCTAGTTTCATCATAGCGCTTGATGGTTTTTGCAACTGCACTTGAAGAAACTTTCAAAGTTCTTGAAATTTTCCAGATTAAGACAAGGTCAGTCAAAGCGATGATGGACTGTCGTTTCTCTTTGCTTATTTGAGCTGTTCTTTCCATGATATGGACTTGGTCTTTAACCAAATAGGGCTATCTTCTGTATACCACCCCTACCTTGTCACAAAACAACTGATTGGCTCAAACGCATTAAGAAGGAAAGAAATTCCACAAATTAACTTTTAACAAGGCACACCTGTTAATTGAAATGCATTCCAGGTGACAACCTCATGAAGCTGGTTGAGAGAATGCCAAGAGTGTGCAAAGCTGTCATCAAGGCAAAGAGTGGCTACTTTGAAGAATATCAAATATAAAATATATTTTGATTTGTTTAACACTTCTTTGGTTACTACATGATTTCATATGTGTTATTTCATAGTTTTGATGTATTCACTATTATTTTACAATGTAGAAAATAGTAAAAATAAATCAAACTTTTGACTGGTACTGTAAATGTTGGTAGAACCTTATTCAAAATTATTCACATCTGTAATGGCTTCCGAAGGTACTTTCACCAAGTATTAACTCTGTGGTGTGAAGACTGTCACGACTTCCGCCGAGGCTGCCTCCCCTCCTTGTTCGGGCAGGTTTCGGCGTTCGACGTCACCGGCTTACTAGCTACTGCCGATCCATTTATCATCACTCCATTTGTCTTGTCTTCAATCACACACACCTGGTCCTTATTCCCTCATTAGTCATTGTATAAGTGTTCCCTCTGCTTCCTTGTCTGTGTGGGTGATTGTTTATTGTGGAGGTTAGTGAAGCTCGGTGGAGCTTGTGTATTTTGTATCGACGGGAGTATTTCCCATGTGTCTTGTATTTTCCAGTGCGCCTGTTTTGTTTACCCTCCTGCGCCTAACTCCTTCAACACCACCTCATCACAGAATCACCCACCCGCTATGGAGTCAGCGGGAGAGACATGAATGCCTGGAGTCGTGGAACGGGTCCAGGAGCATTCAACTATGCTAGCCAGCTTGGGTGAAGCGATGGATCGGGTTCTTCAGGTCGTCCAACGCCTGGAGAGGAGAGAGCCCGATCCGTCGAGACCAGCTGGCCAACCCGATCCCCCCCCCACCTACACCCCAGCACCCGGAGGGATCCAGATATCCCGACCATGGGAGTTCGACGGGACAGTGGCGCTGTGCCAAGGATTCCTTCTCCAACTGGAGCTCTACTTCTCCAGCATCCGGCCGGTCCCATCGGAGCGGAAGAAGGTGTCCGCCCTCGTCTCCTGCCTCTCGGGAAAGCCCTGAAGTGGGCCAACGCGGTGTGGAACGAAGGAGGATGGTCGCGAGAGTGTCAGGGTAGGTGTCTAGGTGTTTCCGTTGGTGCAACCACGGTGGAAAGTCCAGACAGTACCTCCACCGTGCGCATTCCCCCTGAATACCTCGATCTGGCGCAAGCGTTCTCTAAAACGCAGGCGACTAAATTACCACCTCATCGGGCGGGGGATTGCGCAATAAACCTCCAGGTAGACGCTGTACCTCCCAGGAGTCATATATACCCCCGTCACAGGCTGAAACGGTGGCGATGGAAACATGTCACCGAGTCCCTGCGCCAGGGGTATATACGTCCCTCTACTTCACCCGCCTCCTCGAGTTTCTTCTTTGTGAAGAAGAAGGACGGAGGTCTGCGCCTGTGCATTGATTATCAACCACTGAACAGGGAGACGATAAGATTTAGTTATCCTCTCCCCCTCATTCCTTCAGTGATTGAATCAATGCATGGGGCTCGCTTCTTCACCAAATTAGATCTCAGGAGTGCGTACAACCTGGTGTGTATCCGAGAGGGAGATGAGTGGAAGACAGCATTTAGCACAACCACGGGGCATTATGAATACCTGGTGATGCCCTATGTTTTGATGAATGCTCCCTCAGTTTTCCAGTCCTTTGTGAACGAGGTGTTTCGGGACATGCTTGGTCGCGGTGTAGTGGTCTACATCGATGACATCCTGGTGTATTCCACTATGCGCGCCAAGCATGTGTCCCTGGTTCGCAAGGTGCTGGCCCGACTGTTGGAAAATGACCTTTATGCTAAGGCAGAGAAGTGTATGTTTTTCCAGCAGTCCGTCTCCTTCTTTGGATACCGCATTTCCACCTCAGGTGTGGAGATGGAGGGAGATCGCATTTCAGCCGTGCGTAATTGGCCGACTCCAACCACGGTTAAGGAGGTGCAGCGCTTCCTTGGCTTTGCCAACTACTATTGGAGGTTTATCCGGGGCTTTGGCAAGGTCGCAGCTCCCATTACCTCCCTGTTGAAGGGTGGGCCATCCCGGCTCCGCTGGTCTGCTGAGGCTGACCTGGCCTTCAGCACACTGTGGGGTCTGTTCACCTCAGCCCCAGTACTGGCCCACCCCGATTCATCACTATCGTTCGTAGTCGAGGTGGATGCTTCCGAGGTTGGGATAGGAGCTGTCCTGTCTCAACGCTCGGGTACACCACCCAAGCTCTGCCCCTGTGCGTTCTTCTCGAAGAAGCTCAGCCCGGCGGAGCAGAACTACGGCGTTGGTGATCAGGAGCTGTTGGCTGTTGTCCGAGCCTTGACCGTGTGGAGGCATTGGCTCGAAGGGGCAAAACACCCTTTCCTCGTCTGGACGGACCACCGTAACCTGGAGTACATCCGGGCAGCGATGAGGCTGAATCCTCGCCAGGCCAGGCAGGCCCTATTCTTCACCCGGTTTGACACTTCACTCTATCATACATCCCGGGTACGAAGAACGTGAAGGCAGACGCACTGTCCCGGCTGTATGACACAGAGGAGAGGCCCAGCGACAACACCCCCATACTGCCGGCCTCCTGCATTGTGGCGCCGGTAGTATGGGCGATGGACGTGGATATAGAGCAGGCATTACGCACAGATCCCTCTCCACCTCAGTGTCCAGATGGGCTACAGTACGTGCCTGCTCTTAGCCGTGATCGTCTGATCTACTGGGCACACACGTACCCCTCGTATCGGTCGTACAGTGCGCTGCCTGACCGGAAAATACTGGTGGCCTACCTTGGCTAAGGACGTGAGGGTGTATGTCTCCTCCTGCTCAGTGTGCGCCCAGAGTAAGGCACCTAGGCACCTCCCAGCTGGTAAGTTACAACCTTTATCAGTTCCACAACGACCATGGTCTCGCCTAAGTGTTGATTTTCTAACTGATCTTCCCCTCTCCCAAGGTAACATCACCATCCTGGTCGTTGTGGACCATTTTTCTAAAGCCTGCCGCCTCCTTCCTCTGCCCGGTCTCCCCACGGCTCTGCAAACTGCGGAGGCCCTGTTTACATATGTCTTCCGGCACTACGGGGTACCAGAGGTTATAGTGTCTGACCGAGGTCCCCTGTTCACGTCCAAGGTCTGGAAGGCGTTCATGGAACGTCTGGGGGTCTCGGTCAGCCTGACCTCTGGGTTCCACCCCGAGAGTAATGGGCAGGTGGAACGGGTAAATGAGGACGTGGGTAGGTTCCTGCGGTCCTACTGCCAGGACCGGCCGGGGGAGTGGTCGGTGTTCTTGCCATGGGCAGAATATAACCAGAACTCTCTCCGCCACTCCTCCACTAACCTAACACCTTTCCAGTGTGTTCTAGGTTACCAACCGGTTCTGGCACCGTGGCACCAGAGCCAGACCGAGGCTCCTGCGGTGGATGACTGGTTTCAGCGCGCGGAGGAGACGTGGGATGCTGCCCACGTTCACCTCCAACGCGTCGTGCGTCGTCAGAAGGCCAACGCTGACCGCCACCGCAGTGAGGCCCCCGTCTTTGTACCGGGGGATCGGGTCTGGCTCTCGACCCGGAATCTGCCCCTCCGCCTGCCCTGCCGGAAGCTGAGCCTGCGGGTTGTGGGGCCTTTCAAAGTCCTGAGGAGAGTCAACGAGGTCACTTATAGGTTATTACTTCCCCCTGATTACCATATTAACCCCTCGTTTCATGTGTCTCTCCTCAGGCCGGTGGTAGCTGGTCCGCTCCAGTAGTCTGAGGTGCGGGAGGTCCCTCCACCTCCTCTGGACATCGAGGGGGCCCCGGCATACTCTGTTTGTTCCATCCTGGATTCGAGCCGTCGGGTGGGGGGCCTTCAGTACCTCGTGGAGTGGGAGGGGTACGGTCCGGAGGAACGGTGCTGGGTCCCGGTGAGGGATATCCTCGATCCCTCCATGTTTCGGGATTTCCACCGTCGCCATCCGGCTCCGCGTCCTCCTGCCTTGTATTTTCCAATGTGCCTGTTTTGTGCCCTGGAGTGTGTTTGACGCATTTCTGCATAAACCTGTATTTTGCGAATTAAAGCCTGTTACACCACCTCATCACAAAGACACACACAATCAAATACATTTGGATTTTTAAAAAAAATAGTTTATGTCTTCACTATTATTCTACAATGTAGAAGATAGTAAAAATTAAGAAAAACCCTGGAATGAGTAGGTGTGTCCAAACTTTTGACTGGTACTGTACTTGAGACACTGTTCGTTCAGATAGCAGAGAAAGAACAGTGCATTTTGAAACCATAAACGTAATTGTTTAAAACTTGGACTTTATTTTTATTTTTTTTATGAGGCATGTCTCACCTTACTTCTAAGTAGCCTAGCCAAATTCAGACCATAGAAACGTTGAGGGAATTATTTTATCAACACTTCCTCATATGCCATTGAAACCAGTAGGCTGTCATGTTCTATTGGTTTTCAAAATCAACTTTCTTTTAGTGTCCAGCAGCCAAAGACAGTCATATTAGTCATATTAGCAATCCATGCTAGTTGTTGCATCTTTAGATCTTCCCTCTTTCTAAAGGATATTTTCATCTGTCACATGAAACCGCTTGCATTTGTGGTGCGCTTTTGAGAAAGGTGTTTTCCCGCTAATTGCATTTTGGAACATTCGCACCTATAGCCTACTGCTGTGTGCGCCTTGCTGCCCTTATAACGTGAAGAAATAATAGTTTATCAACATTTTAAGCTAAACGTTCTGATCTGTTGCATCAGACTCTTTGCTTTTAAAAGGTTTTTTGATGTAGTGGTTGTATGAATTTGGGATCTATCGTCCCACAACTGTCCCAGATTCTGTTTGGAATATTTATTTCTAGCACAGAATGACAAGCTGACCAATATAATAGGTAAACCTTTGTACTATGGGGGATAGTAGACTGACATAGGCTAGTGCTTTTGCTGTTCGTTACTCATCCTGTTGGCTGAGGAAAAGTAAACGTGGACAGTTCCTCTAACATCTTCAATGAGCGCCTCGGAATTCGATAAGAATGTCGCGCGCCTTTGCATCCCCGATGTGTCTGTCTTCACTTGTACTTCGGAGCTGCAAGGCCTGTGATAAGGACCCGATCACCTGACAGACATTGGCTAATAAGAATTGCGATATCTGAGAAAGCCATGTGAGTGAGAGGTGCTTCGGAGCACGGCGATTGGCAGCCGGGAGAAGGGAATTATAATGATTATATTCAGCCCAAGGGCACAACGGCCACACAAGGGGGCTGCCGGGAAATTTGAGGCCTGCTGTACACTAAATATACAATATTAGAGACACAGAGGTAATAAGACAAGGTTCTAAAGGATATCCAAAGTGGAGACAAAGATAGTACCTTGGTTCTCCTCGTTCTTGAACACCCTGAAGAGGCGGGTGGCCATGAAGCCAAACTCCCTCTCACAGGCGTCAGACAGGGTGGCTATCATCTCTGCCAGGCTGGTCTCCCCTCCCACACTGGACAGACGATTGTAGTCTGTGAACAAGAACCTGACACACACACAGGCAAGATTTCTAGAATATACTTTTTCTATTGAAGGTCGTTCACATCAAGGTGCGTGTGCACGAGCGTCTACAAGCATGCATTTGATGTATATATCTGTGTGTGTTACCTGACAGGCAGGGCGCGGGTGGTCTGCTCTGGCAGCTCGGGGGGGTTGACAAACATAAGTTTGAGCAGCAGCTCCAGGTAGCCCACCTGGCGGGCCAGATGGGTGCTGAGGACCCACGCCCAGTTCCAGTTCTCCCCCTCACGACGACCCCCGAAGTATACCAACACTGCAGGGAGGGAGAGAGAAAATAATACATCATATTGATTCACCATCAGACTTTCACCTACCTATGATGACATCCAGTGGGTAGAACCTGAAAAATGTAGTTGTATGTAGTAAAACGCTGTATGATCGCTCGAAACGTAGACCCATGGAGCCCTCTAGTGATATAATACATGCAACTTTCCTTAACTGTAGGACACCCAAGGACCAGAGTTTGTTTACCCATTTTATTCTCTTCCATTCCATTCTACTCTAGTGTTTCTCACCAAAGAAGATGTAGAGCAGGGTGAGGAGGCTGAGGGAGACGGCGATGGCCAGGCGGGGGTCGACGGTGAAGCCCAGGACCAGAGCTACAGAACCACACAGCAGCAGGGACAGGAACACCACCAGCCACGAGAACTGGAACAGAGGCTCAATCTGCTGGCCTGCAAATGTCTTCATCTCATCTGGAGGAGAGGGAGTGCAAATGAGTAGGACCCCTAGCGGTTCCTGCCTTACACAGGAACCTACAGCAAATGAGGCACTAAGGCAGACAGCCTGGTAATGAGAAAAAGGAAACCTAATGTACAGAACGTGACTAAATGGGCTGACATATTCACTTTTAGATTCATATTGCTGTTGTTTAGTGAGAGGTTAAAAGTCTAATAATTTTTACATGAGAGCCATGGGACACTAGCAAAAGAACAGCCCTAGTGATGTTCCTGGTGGTCCTCTCTTACCCTCCAGTTTCTTGAGCAGGAAGGACTTGCCGCTGCCCCACTGGGCGTACAGGCCCACACAGATGGGCGGCTGCATGGTGGGCTCACTGAGGATGTCTGCCAGGGCACTGCTGTACAGGTCATACCCCAGCATGTCACCGTCAGACTCGGAGGGAGACAGGTGCTCTGAGAGACAGGGGAGAGGGAGAGAGAGGGGAGAGTGAGTGGTCATCACTTGATGAATACAGCAATACTTACAAATAATCTTTATCCCCAAATTTCCAAAACAAGCGTGAGAGAGCTAAATGTAATGATTCATATTCAAAGGTGACTTAAATAATAGCAGTTGGGTATTACAATTTCTTTAATAATAACAGGCTCAAATACAACCCTAGAGTACTATATGCATGTCTATGTGATTTGAGTATCGTGTCTCACTGGCTCCAAAGATCTGAGTGAGGATGCTCTTCTGGTGGGTGCAGTCGATGTTGTAGGGCGTCTCGCCGGCCTTATTGGGGCGGTAGAGCAGGCGGCCATCTTTAGGGTTCCTCAGGAGGAGCTCAGCAAGCTTGCGGCTCCGCCCTCTGATGGCAATGTGAAGGGCCGTGTCGCCTTTCTGGACAGGAGAAGAGAGAGATGATTAGAGTAAAGTAGGGTAGAAACACTTTATTGTCCTGCGCAATGTGGATATACAGTATATTTGGCGGTCACACATCAGACATTGGCTCGAATACAGAACCTGTGATCGTATTCTAAAGACATACAGTGGTGTGAAAAAGTGTTTGCCCCCTTCCTGATTTCTTATTTGTTTGCATGTTTGTCACACTAAATGTTTCAGATCAAACAAATTTAAATATTAGTCAAAGATAACACAAGTAAACACAAAATGCAGTTTTGAAATGAAGGTTGTTATTATTAAGGGAAAACAAAATCCAAACCAACATGGCCCTGTGTGAAAAAGTGATCAAGCGTTTGCTATAACTTGCAATAAGTCTTGTACAGCGCTGTGGAGGAATTTTGGCCCACTCATCTTTGCAGAATTGTTGTAATTCAGCCACATTGGACGGTTTGAGCATGAACTGCCTTTTTAAGGTCATGCCACAGCATCTCAATAGGATTCAGGTCAGGACTTTGACTAGGCCACTCCAAAGTCTTCATTTTGTTTTTCTTCAGCCATTCAGAGGTGGACTTGCTGGTGTGTTTTGGATCATTGTCCTGCTGCAGAACCCAAGTTCGCTTCAGCTTGAGGTCACGAACAGATGGCCGGACATTCTCCTTCAGGATTTTTTGGTAGACAGCAGAATTCATGGTTCCATTTATCACAGCAAGTCTTCCAGGTCCTGAAGCAGCAAAACAGGCCCAGACCATCACACTACCACCACCATATTTTACTGTTGGTATGATGTTCTTTTTCTGAAATGCGGTGTTACTTTTACGCCAGATGTAATGGGACACACACCTTACAAAAAGTTCAACTTTTGTCTCGTCAGTCCACAGAGTATTTTCCCAAAGGTCTTGGGGATCATCAAGATGTTTTCTGGCAAAAATGAGACGAGCCTTAATGTTCTTTTTGCTCAGCAGTGGTTTTCGTCTTGGAACTCTGCCATGCAGGCCATTTTTGCCAGTCTCTTTCTTATGGTGGAGTCATGAACACTGACCTTAACTGAGGCAAGTGAGGCCTGCAGCTCTTTAGATGTTGTTGTGGGGTCTTTTGTGACCTCTTGGATGAGTCATCGCTGCGCTCTTGGGGTAATTTTGGTCGGCCGGCCACTCCTGGGAAGGTTCACCACTGTTCCATGTTTTCGCCATTTGTGGATAATGGCTCTCACTGTGGTTTGCTGGAGTCCCAAAGCTTTAGAAATGGCTTTATAACCTTTTCCAGACTGATGGATCTCAATTACTTTCTTTCTCATTTGCTCCTGAATTTCTTTGGATCTCGGCATGATGTCTAGCTTTTGAGGATCTTTTGGTCTACTTCACTTTATCAGGCAGGTCCTATTTAAGTGATTCCTTGATTGAGAACAGGTGTGGCAGTAATCAGGCCTGGGTGGGGCTAGAGGAATTGAACTCAGGTGTGATAAACCACAGTTGAGTTGTGTTATAACAGGAGGGGCAAACACTTTTTCACACAGGGCCATGTAGGTTTGGATTTTGTTTTCCCTTAATAATAACAACCTTCATTTCAAAACTGCATTTTGTGTTTACTTGAGTTATCTTTGACTAATATTTACATTTGTTTGATGATCTGAAACATTTAAGTGTGACAAACATGCAAACAAATCAGGAAGGGGGCAAACACTTTTTCACACCACTGTATACTAGACTCTGTATGTTGTGTTTCTCCAGTACCTTGTCCACAGCAGCCACCTTGGCCCCTCTGTCCAGGAGCAGCTCCACTATCTCAATGTTCCTCATCTTGGTGGCTTTGATCAAAGGGGTCTCTGCATCCTGAAACACACATCATCATCATCATCATCTCAGACCAAGAACAGTGATTGGTGAGAATAGAAGCAAGCAAATGTACATTTGCAACACTAATCACTCTTGTTTAAAACTTGTTTTTAAACCGTCACAACTTTATCACAATGTTGACGTTGACAAGAGAGGAATTTGTCACAGTGCTATAAAATGACTGTTCATTCATTTATAGCAGCTGTGGCTGTTCCTTACCTTGGTGCAGCTCTCAGTGTCCGGGTTGCACTGGAGGATGTCTCTCACCATGGTGGTGTTCCCTTTCTCCACTGCCCAGTAGAGGGCAGTCTTACTATCCTGTTTTACACAGTGGAGAAGAGGGTCATATTCATTAGGCACCAAACAGAAGAAACCTGACAGAAACAAGGAGGGACTATCTGAACATATCCAATAAGACACGCTTGTTTTTGTTTTCCGTTGTAAAACATTTTGCTACGGCGTGCCCTAATGAATAGGACCAGTATTGGCATGATGATAGAGCAGAGATGTTAAAGGTCCAATGCAGCCGTTTGTCTCTCATTATCAAATCATTTCTGGGTAACAATTAAGTACCTTACTGTGATTGTTTTCATTTAAAATGGTCAAAAATAAACAAAAATAGTTTCTTAGCCAAGAGCAATTTCTCAAGCAAGGATTTTGCTAGGACTGTCTGGGTGTGGTCTGAGTGGGGAGAGGAAAACTGAGAACTAGCTGTTATTGGCAGAAAGGTTTGGAACTCTTTGTTATTGGTCTATTAACTAATTTACCGCCTGGTGATATCACTAGGAGGGCCAAAACTCCACCCCACCAAAACAGGCTGAAATTTCAGGTGGTCTTTTCAAACAGCTCTTATACTAAAAGGGCATAATCATTATATCAATATTAAACCAACCTCAGTGTGGAAATATATATAAAACACAGGAAAATCCCGCTTTTGACTGCAGTGTGCCTTTAATAATGTGGATGGGTCACATTAGAGAGACTACTACCTGTCCCCTGACGTCAATGTCGGCATATTTGTTCAGAAGGGCTCTGACGATCTCCACATGGCCTCCTCTCACTGCTCCGATCAGCACTGTCTCCCCACTCTGTGACACACAAAATAAACATCACAGGCTTTCAATACAGAGAACACAAACTCAGTTATCACACAATAGAAAATATAGATCATACTGTAGAGGAGCAGACGATACATGTGCTGCTACCTTCAGCACATTTATCCATATAGCATGACCATTATCATTCATGTTGATATAATCCTGTCTCTACTGTTTATTGTCAGGGCAATGTTTTAGCTCATCTTTAGAGGTTGGTGATGGTCATCTACCCTGGCTGGTATGTTGACGTAGGTGCCAGCGTCCAACAGGTCCTGGACTATCTCAGTGTAGCCCTCCTTGGCAGCGATCATCAGGGCTGTGTTGCCGTCCTTGTCTGTCATGTTGACGTTGGGGTTCCTCTTCAAAATCTCCTTCACCACCTCATTGAAACCACCCCTCACCGCCACGATCAGAGCTGTCATGGAATTCTGATAGGGAGAAAATAGCAGTTTGATTTTTGTCGTTTCACCACAGTGTTTCCTTTCATGAGTTGCAGCTAAAGCCAGTTTTTTTTTTTTCCCCCACTATGAATGGGAATGAATGGATATCTATACAGACAAAGCTCTGACTCATCAGATAAGGTCTTATTTTAAAGAGTGGGTAGTCAAACGTATGACAAAAACCTCTGACAATGCATTTGTGAATATACATATATTTTTTCAAAGACAGAATTGATAAAAAAGCTATTTTGTAGTGAACCTACCCTTGCTTGAGCCCATTGTGTGTGATCTGCTCAGGCCTTGTGTAATGAGGTTTTAATGAGAGTAGGGAGGTCCACTTACCGCTCCCTCCTGGTCCACATCGGCCCCATTGACCAGCAAGTGTATCACACTGTCATAGTGACCCTTCCTGGCCGCCCAGATCAACGGGGTAGTGCCATACTGAGAACAGGGGAGGAGAGAAAAGAGAAAGAAACAGATGATTGATGACTATTAAAACACTGAATGTAGGGTCATTTAGTATAGTTGAAAAACTTTTGAGTCACTTTTGAGTCATTTTTAAAAGTCATTACCTTCATGGCATTTTTGTATAAGACAAATTGAACACAGAACCAGTGGTGAGTGCTTACCTTGTCAGAGCAGTTGACTTTAGCTCCGTGGTGAATCAGGAGATGGACTATATCAGCATGACCTCGTCCAGCCGCCCAGATAATGGGGTAGACGCTGTACTGTAAGGACAGACATTAGCATATTTAACTCCTACTGAAATACACTCATTATTTACCTAATGATGTATTCTTTAATTTATGAATAAAATGTCTAAAGCGCTTTAGATAGTACCAGTGTACCTGGCCAGTGATGTTGGGACTAGCTCCTTTCTCCAGAAGTAGCTGGGCAACCTCCACACGACCCTTATAGGAAGCCCACATGAGGGCGCTCCATCCCCCCTGTACAGTAAACCACAAAGGAGCACACACACACATTTTAAATGGGAAGTGGTGACATTTACAGTTAGGGACTATTGCCACAATTCCCACAGTGCCAGGGAGAAGTAGAGTAGTCATCTTCTGTATGATGTCATATGCACCTAGCCAAACAGTGGGTTTAATCCTGTTATTAGTACAGACAGACTGGCACCAGGATGGCTTAAGGCGTCAGCATGCTTCAGTTCGGCTGGCACCTAAGGGGTTTGGAACTCGAGTCTGCTCGCATACTCCCTTAAAAGACCTTCGCATGAAAAAACGAGAAAAAAGCAGCAATAGTACAGTTTGTGCATTTTGAGACACCCTAGCCAGTATACACTTCCTCAAAATAGTCAGAATGAATCTAAGATCAATGAATAAATCTGTAATAAATGTTTATGTTTTTGCCGAAAAGATCTTAGTCGCACAATTTTGCATCTGACTAAGATGTTTGGTGCAGTATTTCTCAAGTGACAAAATTTGCCTGAGGACGAGTCGTCTCTCGTTGAATGACAACAAGCACTTCCTTGAAGAATCCCTACTGTTGACCAATCGCTGACTTCGGCTTCCGACTTCGGCTTCCCTCAATAAAAATAAAAAAATGTGCCCGAACAGCCGAAAAATCCCTTGCCGAAGTCCAAAACGAACAAAAGAACGTCACAAAAAGTCTTAATAATATATGCACGGGCTGTTCCGGACTGACACGTAACACAGCCATGATTGATTGACTGAGTCACCTTACACTAGAACAAGTCCACCAACTTGAAAAATATGAAATGGAAATAGCACATTTCAGAAGGCAAAATGTAACGTAATTAAGAAAGCTTTGGTCATGACACTCACAATGAACAGATACTGTCACTGGTATTTTCTCCATTATTTTTACCCCCTGGGAAACATGTAATGCTGCTAAAATAACACTCTCTGAATGCCTTTGATTTGCAGAGGAGCAAAAACTAAGCATTTGGAATAACCTCTCCTCTACTGTGAATGAACACAGAGCTGCAGATAGAAAGGATGTGAAGTGGACTTCTTCCACTGAGAGGTCTGTATTACAGTTATGAACCATATCCCAGGTTAATGTACTCCGGACATCCAGAGCTCAGTAAACGCAATTATTACAAAATGGAGGAGATTATCTTGGAGGTAATGGAATCGCATCCCAAGCTAATGGATGAATAACTTCAAAGCAGCCTGGAATAGATTGCAGTCAGACATAAGACAGTAGAGGATGAATATGAAGAGACTCTTTCTACAGTGTGTGTGTGTGTGTTGGGTATTGTGACAGCAAAAGAAACATACATGTCAGTGCAAATGGACCAATAAAGCAAGTATTGTACTGTATTGTAGCTCCCATACGAAATACCCTATGGACACCGTCAATGACAGATACACTGCTGTGCCAGAGTTTTTCACATTAACGCTTTTCAAAATACATCCAGATAGAAGACGGTCCAATCTAAAATAAGAATCCTTTCATCTTTTTGTAAAGATGTTTTCCCTCACTTTTTCAATCAAACTAGTCCTTCAAGAAAAATGTTATACACAGGTACAAAAGCTTTACTTCATGTTGCCCACTGTTTACTTCAGTGCCCACTGTCAATGTCCTTGCCCAATACCCTGTACCCAGTGCCCACCCTCCTCTCCTCTCTCACCATGTCCCGGTGCTCCAGGCTGGCATTGTTGGCCAGCAACTCCTTCACCACCTCCACATGGCCCTCCTTAGCCGCTGAGATCAGTGCCGTCCAGCAGTCCTGTTGACGGGCAGAACACACAGGGGTTACACTTGGTCACCACGGAAACTCCAATCACGTCGTTGTCGCCGTGGACCACCACCAATCAGAGGTCTGCCAGTCTGTATTAATCCGCTCCACAGTGCTGTACCTACCAGCTGGTCGTACCAGGTGCTCATGGATGCAGGTTGGAGGTGACAGAGAGAGCGTCAGATAGAGAAGAGAGAGCGAAGGAGAGAAAGAGAGATAGACACGGTGTCCAGGTCTGGTCAGTCTCACTCAGTCTGGTGTAGTGAGAGTCTGAGTGTGTGTGTGTGAGGTTTAGTAAGAGGTTGAGGCTGGGTGTGTTGATGAAGACAGCAGCTCTACACCCTGTCATTTACTTTAGCAGAGGCCTTCTACAGGTGCTCATTATGGGGCTCTGTGTTAACCCACAGTGTGGCGAGTTCAGCAGGCTGGATACTAAGGGATTATCGGGCAGTGGAGACCTCTATGCCATGTGAATAATGTGGCTAAAATGACCAAATGTTAACTTTGTGTGGTAATGTATTCTGTTGGCATCATGGTGCATATCACGGTTGAACAATGGTTTCTACTATGTACCTTGAGCAACCAAAATCTTACATGTTCCCAGCAGACTTACAGTGAGGGAAAAAAGTATTTGATCCCCTGCTGATTTTGTACGTTTGCCCACTGACAAAGAAATGATCAGTCTATAATTTTAATGGTAGGTTTATTTGAACAGTGAAAGACAGAATAACAACAACAGAAATCCAGAAAAACGCATGTCAAAAATGTTATAAATTGATTTGCATTTTAATGAGGGAAATAAGTATTTGACCCCTCTGCAAAACATGACTTAGTACTTGGTGGCAAAACCCTTGTTGGCAATCACAGAGGTCAGACGTTTCTTGTAGTTGGCCACCAGGTTTGCACACATCTCAGGAGGGATTTTGTCCCACTCCTCTTTGCAGATCTTCTCCAAGTCATTAAGGTTTCGAGACTGACGTTTGGCAACTCAAACCTTCAGCTCCCTCCACAGATTTTCTATGGGATTAAGGTCTGGAGACTGGCTAGGCCACTCCAGGACCTTAATGTGCTTCTTCTTGAGCCACTCCTTTGTTGCCTTGGCCGTGTGTTTTGGGTCATTGTCATGCTGGAATTCCCATCCACAACCCATTTTCAATGCCCTGGCTGAGGGAAGGAGGTTCTCACCCAAGATTTGACGGTACATGGCCCCATCCATCGTCCCTTTGATGCGGTGAAGTTGTCCTGTCCCCTTAGCAGAAAAACACCCCCAAAGCATAATGTTTACACCTCCATGTTTGACGGTGGGGAAGGTGTTCTTGGGGTCATAGGCAGCATTCCTCCTCCTCCAAACACGGCGAGTTGAATTGATGCCAAAGAGCTCCATTTTGGTCTCATCTGACCACAACACTTTCACCCAGTTCTCCTCTGAATCATTCAGATGTTCATTGGCAAACTTCAGACAGGCCTGTATATGTGCTTTCTTGAGCAGGGGGACCTTGCGGGCGCTGCAGGATTTCAGTCCTTCACGGCGTAGTGTGTTACCAATTGTTTTCTTGGTGACTATGGTCCCAGCTGCCTTGAGATCATTAACAAGATCCTCCCGTGTAGTTCTGGGCTGATTCCTCACCGTTCTCATGATCATTGCAACTCCACGAGGTGAGATCTTGCATGGAGCCCCAGGCCGAGGGAGATTGACAGTTCTTTTGTGTTTCTTCCATTTGCGAATAATTGCACCAACTGTTGTCACCTTCTCACCAAGCTGCTTGGCGATGGTCTTGTAGCCCATTCCAGCCTTGTGTAGGTCTACAATCTTGTCCCTGACATCCTTGGAGAGCTCTTTGGTCTTGGCCATGGTGGAGAGTTTGGAATCTGATTGATTGCTTCTGTGGACAGGTGTCTTTTATACAGGTAACGAGCTGAGATTAGGAGCACTCACTTTAAGAGTGTGCTCCTAATCTCAGCTTGTTACCTGTATAAAAGACACCTGGGAGCCAGAAATCTTTCTGATTGAGAGGGGGTCAAATACTTATTCCCCTCATTGAAATGCAAATCAATTTATAACATTTTTGACATGCGTTTTTCTGGATATTTTGTTGTTATTCTGTCTCTCACTGTTCAAATAAACCTACCATTAAAATTATAGACTGATCATTTCTTTGTCATTGGGCAAACGTACAAAATCAGCAGGGGATCAAATACTTTTTTCCCCTCACTGTATTCTCCCTGTCCTGAGCATAGGTGTGTGGTTGTGGTTGGAAAAGTCCTAGGTCTAAAACTCATGTGACAGAGAACCTCAAACCCATGGTCTAGCTACCATTTGTTTTTAGTGTGGTGTGGGTGTGTGTGTGTGTACCACATCGTCCAGGTTGACGTTGGCTCCCCTCCTGATGAGCTCCTGGACCATCTCTACGCTGCCCTGCTCTGATGCCACCATCAGGGAAGTCTGACCATTCTGAGGAGGGAGAGAGGGGGGAGAGAGAGAGTGAGTGAGTGAGTGAGTGAGTGAGTGAGTGAGTGAGTGAGTGAGTGAGTGAGTGAGTGAGTGAGTGAGTGAGTGAGTGAGTGAGTGAGTGAGTGAGTGAGTGAGTGTGAGTGAGTGAGTGAGTGAGTGAGTGAGTGAGTGAGTGAGTGAGTGAGTGAGTGAGAAATGGTCACTAATCACATAAGAGATACCTGAGCACTGATTTAATTGGAGCATCACTTTAATACTGAAATCTGGCTAAACAAGTTAGCCTAGTACTTATTTAGATGTTTATGTTAACTCTCATTTGTATGTTTACTGTGTTACATGCAATGCCTAGTATCCAGTGGTCTGACTCACCTCGCTCCTGCTGTCCACCTCCTTGAACTTGTCCAGGTGGGCTTTGATGGCCGGAACATTGTCCTCCTCCACGTAGCTGAACAGGCTCTGGATGGCCAGAGTGGTCATCTTCAGAGAGGTGGTGGTGTCCATGGCTACGCCTCACCACCGCGACTAGGACACACAAAGAGAGCTTATTAGCCGATGTACACATAAACCTGGCACAGTCAAAGCTGGCTGGACATTTTTGAAGCACATCTTCATAAGAACATCACAACACAACACATTCATAAGCCATGGGCTATAAAACACATTCATACATGAGTCAACAACCACAAGTTGATGTTTTAGTTAAATGTCAGTCAAAATCACAGGAGGTTGGTGGTCCCTTAATTGGGGAGGAAGGGCTCGTGGTAATGGCTGGAGCAGAATAAGTTGAATGGTATCAAATACATCCAGTGGTGTAAAGTACTTAAGTAAAAATACTTTAAAGTACTACTTAAGTAGTTTTTGGGGGAAACTTTTACTATTACTTCACTACATTCCTAAAGAATATATTGTACTTTTTACTCCATACATTTTCCCTGACAACCAAAAGTACTCGTTACATTTTGAAAACTTAGCAGGACAGGAAATTGTCAAATTCAAGCACTTATCAAGAGAACACGTGGTCATCCATACTGCCTCTGGCCTGGCGGACTCACTAAACACAAATGCATATTTTGTAAATAATGTCTGAGTGTTGGAGTGTGCCCCTGGCTATCCATACATTTAAAAAACAAGAAAATGGTGCCGTCTGCTTTGCTTAATATAAGGAACTTTAAATTATTTATACTTTTACTTTTGATACTTAAGTATATTTTAGCAATTACATTTATTTTTGATACTTAAGTATATTTAAAACCAAATACTTGTAGACTTTTACTCAAGTAGTATTTTACTGGCTGACTTTCTATTAAGGTATCTATCGTTTTACTCAAGTATGACAATTAGGTACTTTTTCCATCACTGAATACATCAAAAGTGGTGTTTGATGCCATTCCATTCGCTCCGTTCCAGCCATTATTATGAGCCTTCTTCCCCTCAGCAGCCTCCACTGGTCAAAATGTTTCTGAATGTGTTATGGATTATAATAATAATAATAATATGCCATTTAGCAGACGCTTTTATCCAAAGCGACTTACAGTCATGCGTGCATAAAAAAATGTTTTGTGTATGGGTGGTCCCGGGGATTGAACCCACTACCTTGGCGTTACAAGCGCCGTGCTCTACCAGCTGAGCTACAAATTATGACAGTACATAGGCCTAAGCCAAGAAATACAAATAAAGGGAATGTTTGTTGTCCACTCACTGTTTTCTGTTTCAAAAGGATGGTATTTCTTTGAGCTTTGAGCTCAGAAATGTGATCAGAAGTTCAACTTGGTAGAAGCAAACAGTGAGCACTGCAGACATACACTTGCATTTCATACAGGCCTAATAAGAAGGGCAGAGGACATGAGACTGGGCAGCAACTATAATTATAACAGTTAGGGATGGGCATGAGTATTCGAGTACTCCAATGGACCATTAAAACGCAACCTTTAACCAGAGATCACTTGTTCTTAATTTTTATACTGTAAAACTATTTGGTTGAAATTGCGGCACACAACAAAAAAGAAACCAAGCCAGGCATCACACAGTTTTCCTCCCTAAATTCCCTTTTCCCGTCTGTCTCACTAACTTAATTGCGTTCCGACCGCTGGCTCTCCACACGTGCTGAGTGCACACGCAAGCGCTTTTAGGCCTATAAAAACTAATGGGATAAAAAAGCTACATTTATTGCCAAATGATGACAGTTTTATCACAAATTCAAAATGGACTGGTTGACTGAAGTAGGGAAATATGTGTTCCAACAATAAACTGCAGTTTTGGAATAATTGCGTCCGGTCTATTTTTATATTTCGCTTAGGCTAATTTGCGGTTGTCACTAGTTACCACTTGCACAAAGTCAACATTTCCTATATCGTCCAAATTCATGAAAACTAAAATTAGCATTTTGTTCTTAATTTAAGGTTAGGCATAAGGTTAGCAGTGTGGTTAGTGGTTAGGTATAAAATCAGATTTTAAGATGAGCAATTGTATAAATAGGCGCAATTTATGACTTTGTGGTTGTGGTAACTAGTGACAACCAACTGCTAGTGCCATTTAGAATTGGTTAGCCTAGGCTATAACCCCCCTAAACATACAGATTCCACACTGAAAATATGCAAAAACATACGTTTGATAAAGACAAAGAGTGTATTTACATCAGAATCTTTAAGCCTACTCACCAAACAGATGTCGTGGCCGTAATCCATCCCCATGCAGTGTTCAATGTGGAATTGTTAATACATTTAGAAAAATCGAAAGAACAGGCAGAATAAACGAAACTTCTGCATATCGAAAAGATAGATAGATATTGGTTTGTAACCCTGAAAGAATTGTCTTTCAACTCGCCAAATTGAGCCCGGTTTCAAATGATCACTCCTAGAGAATAACTGTTCCAGCCGCGAGATGCACATCAAATTAAATTCATGTCATGTGCACAAGTACAGTGAAACGCCTTTCTTGCAAACTCTAAACCCAACAATGCAGTACAAAAAAATAACATAAAGTAGAACAAAAACATACGAGAAATAAGAATGACTTTGCACTATTCTGTTCTATTTTATTATGTTATATTACATCATGTTTTTTCCTATAAAATAGGTGTGTCTTGACTGTGATAAGAGTTTGGGAAATAAGTGTATTGTCTGCTAAATTAACAAAAACAAGGCTATGCCATTGCACAGCCATAGGCTTCTACAAGCAAGCGCCACTGCTGAGGTTACTTCCTTTTTGAAGATTGTGTTAATTATATAATATTTAAATCTTAAATGGCACTTGTTTTTTTATTGACTGAATATATAAAATTACACTGAACAAAAATAGAAACACAACATGTAAATTGTTGATACCAGCTGAAATAAAAGATCACTGAAGTTTTCCATACGCACAAAAAGCTTATTTCTCTAAAATATTGTGCACAAATTTGTTTACATCCCTGTTAGTGAGCATTTCTCCTTTGCCAAGATAATCCATTGACCTGACAGGTGTGGCATATCAAGAAGCTGATTAAACAGCATGATCATTACACAGGTGCACCTTGTGCTGGGGATAATAAAAGGCCATATAAAAAAATGTGTGCACAACATTTGAGAGAAATACGCTTTTTGTGCATATGGAAGATTTCTGGGATATTTTATTTCAGCTCATGAAAAATTAGACCAACACTTTACATCCATTGACCTGACAGGTGTGGCATATCAAGAAGCTGATTAAACAGCATGATCATTACACAGGTGCACCTTGTGCTGGGGATAATAAAAGGCCATATAAAAAAATGTGTGCACAAAATTTGAGAGAAATACGCTTTTTGTGCATATGGAAGATTTCTGGGATATTTTATTTCAGCTCATGAAAAATTAGACCAACACTTTACATGTTGCGTTTATATTTTTGTTCAGTATAGATAAATGTGTGGGCCTTGTGTTCGAATTTTTATTTTTATTTTAATTTGAGTACTGGAAAAAAAATATGCCCATCCCTTATAACTGTAGGCTATGCCCCCAGTACCCTGTCCCTGAACCAACGATGTTGAACCCATTCATGCTTCTGACAATCTGAACTAATGAGGAATTACAGTATGTTTTCCAGACCTAGTAGAGGAATAATGAGAGCAAAGCAGTCACCGCGGCTAGGTTAGACTATAAGACAAAAAATACAGCCCATAACAATACTGAGATGAGCTCCATCATTGAAGGCAAAGAATAGGCCTGAGGCTTGTTAAAACAAAGATTAGCTAGCTACTTAATTGGCAGTTATGGACGTACACAGCACTCCAATTTCTGCTGCTTAGGCTAGGCTATGTCAGGATGTGCTGTGCCTTCTTAACTTGGTCTATTGAACAAGGGCAGGGTCTAGGCCTTAAAATGCCAATTTCCTTTTACTGTCAGCGATTCTTATGGTCCAATGCTTCAGTCTGAGGCAAAGGGGATAGTAGCAGAAGGCCTCAGCCTACATAGCATGATTTAGTTGAAAAATATTCAAAACAAATGAGATGGGGAAACCTTTCAAGGATTGGCTAAGTGGAGACTGATTGTTTGCGCCGTCTACTTGCAGAATTATGCGGTATGTCCAATGACAAAAAAATCTGAAATGTGCCTAATTTTATACAATATTATGAATTTCACCCAACAACAACACTTAAGACAAAAAAAGCTGAAAACGCCTTCATTAGCAACGCAGCCTGAAAATGTATATCTAAACAGATAGGCTAATAAAATTATTCATTAAAGTTTTATATAATTAATTAATTAATTATTTAGCCTATACATAATATATCAATACCTGCAAAAATCTATTATGATCCTTAGATAGGCCTTAATTATTTTTCAACATCATAAATCCATGTAACAAAAAATTAAACACAGCTTGTAATATGATTGTAAGAAAGAAGCATATTTTGAAAACCAGTAGCTACGTTGGTCTGTCACCAAAGAGCAGAAATGGGAAATTGAATCAGTCAAATAGGCTTATCTATTCAAATCTCAATTATTTTCCTATATGCCTACATATAATCTAAGAAAGTATGGTAAGGCTAGCAGTTAACAGGCTTTGATAAAAATAAAATAGGTCTATGATTTATTTTCTCTCATATCAGATTATTCACACAACCTGAGCAGAGCCTTTGTTTACAGTTGAGGCACCGTGAACCCGCTGACACACCCTCATGTGTCTCAGAGGCAGCACAGCCGCTATCAGCACAAAAGAATGGACAATGAGTGACCAGACAACAATCAATGAGCCTCAAGGATTCTCTGTACAGAGTATTGATTGAGGGGGTTCAAAACTTCACCTCATCCCCCACCACTGCAAAACAGAAACCAACAAAGAAACACCAAGAAATAGAAGCTAAGTAGACTAAATAGCCTTAGTATTACACAGGCCTCACAAATAGCAATGAGCAAAGTCCAATAATTAACAAAGAACTGAATGGCTTACCTTTATGGAAAATGTTAATTTAACTGCACTGAATGGCAATAGCTGTACTTCAATTACTGTCCCTCACCCACACTGACTGAGTATCAACAAGC